AATTATTAAACTAGTGAATTTTATTGATATTTTATTACCTCTATAACAATTTAGGTTTGTGCTAATCATACAATTCAAGCAACAATGAATTTAACACCACTGCAAAAATCTGATCGAGCATTTGTATGGCTTGCACAAGATTTCGCAGAGGAAGAAAAGATGGAAAAATTTGCTGCTCGTTTTAAAACAGTTGAAATTGCGAAGAATTTTGAAGCTATGTTCAATGCTGCTCGAGATGCAGCCTCATCAGCAGATAATAAAGGTGATTTTGTCAATTTGTCTTCTCTCTTTCATAGAAAATATGCATCGATATATATTCGAGAAACAAATATTCCTTTCAATTAACAAAATGCTTGTTTTAATCAAATTTCCAAAATCTTAGGAGGAACAGTTAAGACAACATCCTGTGACAAGGGAGAGAGAAAAGAGCTGAAAGGAAGCGAAGGAGAAAAGAATGATAGTATGAAAGGCTTTGGTGATGCGTTCAAACCACCAGCAGGAAGGTACTCTTGCTGTTTTTTCTTGAATGTTTTCTAGTTTATAATTTTAAGAATAACAAATACTTCGACATTATATTATTCTTGCATATATGTTTACTTTAGAAGTTGTAACCTCAGTTTTCCTCATTTTTAGTTGGTCATGTAACGCTTGCTACATATCAAATACAGTAAATGCAACTGTCTGTATATGTTGTGGGGCAGCTAAAGATGGCGGTAGTGATTCCACTTCAGCTTCTTCAGTCTTTTCAAGGTATATAATTTTGGATATCTATAGTTATAGTTTTTTTTTTTTTGAAGGTACTTTATGCTTTAATTATTACTAGGTAGTTATTGCTGTCCTAAAATCGAAGATTTGAGTATAATATATTTCAGCAAACCGACATCAACAGTTGCACCGATTAAGGGTAGCAGTGGAATCACATTTGGTTTTCGCAGTGATAGCTCACCTGCAAGCGTCACTACCACAGCTACAACATTTAATAGGTATTTACAGATTACTTATTTTCCTTTTTCTTTAGTAATTTATTACATATTTCTTAAATTTGTGTATATACATTGATATATCAGTGATAACTTTACAGTGGACTGCCTACGTTCAGCTTCAAGCCAGCGACAACTACGACTGCATCTGCAAATGTTACTACAACAGCTGCACAACCGTTGTTTAGTAGCTTTGTTTCTCGACCTATGACAACAACCACAACTACTGCAAGTTCTGTTTTCCAGTCGGTTACGACAACGACTACTGCAACCACAAATGCTTCGTCAGCTCCAAGTGTGCCTAATTTCAGTTTTAAATTTACTCCATCCAACTCTACTGCATTCGGTGGCCCACCATGTTTTGGGACGAAATCACCTTCAACCACTTCAAGCACAGCAGGAAGTAAAACTTTTTAAAGTACTTATTTACATACTATTAATTTTGCTTATTGGATTGGATGAGTATAAAATTTGTATTTGTTGGAAAGAAAAATGATTTTTGAATTCTTATCGTTTATGCTAGTTTTTTCACTGTCTTTGATCAATGACATATGATATTTCAGCAAACGAAAGCACTACCGTAAATACGAAATCATCCCTTTTTGGTAGTTCTGCATTTAGTAAGTATTCTTTCAATATAGTTTCAATAGATTGCAATATTTCGAATATTTTAGTTCGAATTGTTCCTGATTTTTATCTGCTTTTAGCTGCAGTTTGCTTTTTTATTCCCTTCTTTCCTTGTTTCACAAATATTTTTAAAAGCGAAATCTGAAACATAATACAAAAAGAAAAATACAAAAAAAATATACTGCTATTACTTTCTATAATCAAACTTGCTGTTAACACGGGCTATAAAATATTAAATTGTTAATCCGAAGATTATTTAAACCTAATTCTTCTCCTCTTACTATTAATTTGCATATTGCATATTCAGGTGGTGGCTCTGTCTTTGGGAAATCTTCTAGTGGCGGATTTGCTGCATTAGCAGCAAAAGCTAAATCTGAAACATCGGCAAAGTCTGCTGAAGGAAATAAAGTTATAACACCATTTGGAGGTGGCAAATTTGATACGTCTATGAATTCCGTAAGTTTCTAAAAAACTTTATCATTTTTACATGTAATTTTGTTATCTTTAAAAATAAAAATTGAAAGAACGCAGGGATAATAATGACAGCTAATTAGAGGAACAAATGAGAAGCATTTTCAGATGCGTTCATTTCAGTTGTGATTCGTGTCGAATGTTGTTTCAGATTTTCTCCTCCAACGCTAAGCAAAATACACCCAAAGAGAAGAATGAAGAGGGAGCAGAGGATAATTCGGATGATGCCGAGGAGTTTGAACCAAACGCACATTACGAACCAGTGGTTCCTTTGCCGTCACTTATAGAAGTGAAAACCGGTGAGGAAGGTGAACAGGTCAGTTTTTCTTTTCGTCTTATTTATTTTTCACTTTGATTCAGAAATAGCTTATCTATCATAGCTGGATATGATGAAAATTTTTATAATTATGAATTCCTTGTGTTTTCAGGTGATGTTCAAAGCTCGATCGAAACTGTATCGTTATGTAGCTGAAACGAAGGAATACAAAGAACGCGGCGTCGGTGATATCAAGGTTCATTTCATTGTTAGACCTTAACATACCAAACCATCTTTTATTGCCTTGCTGCTTATAGAAGTTTACAAAATAGGTTAGTGGTTAGACGAAGGTTTTATTTGTAATATATAACTAAATATCAGGAAATTTTTCATGATTTCTAAATGTTGCATTCTAGAATGCAATTGCCTGGTATAAATTCTTGAAAGAAAAAAACTGTTAATGATTGGGTGAAGTGGTATAGTAATAATAATAATATTAAGAAAATTTTTGTGATAGATTCTCTTCAATCCCGAAACAAAGCGATGCCGTATTGTTATGCGACGAGACCAAGTGCTAAAAGTCTGCGCCAATACACCTATAACGGATAGCTCAAGCATTAAGAAGAAACCGAATACCGACAATGCATGTATGTGGATGTGCAGGGTAATAATGGTTTTATTATATCAACTGTTAATTAGTGTCACATGTATTGTTTGCTGTTTTGCTAATACATATGGACATTTATGCTACTCTTTAACATTAACTAGTGATTGTCCAGTTGTTAAGTCGAAGCTTTTTAAATATCATGTCGTTGGTATAAATCCATTTTAGGATTACTCGGAGGAAAAAGAAGGTGTAAATGAATATTTCGTTGCTAAATTTAAGGATGCTAGTTTAGCAGATGAATTTATCCTTGCATTTCAAAATGCTGCAGCACGTAAATTTCCTCTTCAAGACCAGAAGAACGCTTCTGCAGCAGGTAAGCTGTTGTTGATTTTATTTGAACGTGACCATATTTGTGAGGTAATAATGTGGACCTAGAAAGAATACTTGTATGTATCGTTTGTCTTCTAAAAGGCTATTCAAAAAAATCCGATCGCAGTAAAAATATTTCTTTAAGGGGATGGCACTTCACCAAAAATTTCTGGTACATGCAAGAAATTGGAGGCATCTTTGAATAATACCTCGCAGAAGCAAAATCGAAATGTTGGGAAAGGTAGTGAACACACCGGCGATAAATCTAAAAAGGATAGTGCTGATGTCGAAAATGACTATGATGATGGAGAAAATGATGGTGATGATGATGATGAATATGAAGAGCTCTCCACTCATAAAGTGAAAGCTACAATAAGCGAGGCGTATGCATCGCCACTGAAACCTGTAAGTTTATTTTTGCTAAATGAGTTTTGAAATCTATGTTCACTTCATAAAATTTTCAGAGCAAACCAATTGAATTCACTGGATTTATTGCACTAGGATTGTTGGGCAGTGGACACATGAAAATTGATCTGTACAATGATGATGAACAAATGCAATGGTCGCATGTAATCGAGTTGGAAGATGGTCTTTCCCGACAGGTAGGTTAAGTTATTTCGCTTGTTGACTGGAAAATTATTGAAAGAACTAGTTACAGTGTTTTAAACATGTCTTAGAATTTTGGAGTTTCAAGTAAAACATATGATTTACAGAATAAGAATCAAATTAAGTATGTTGCCATGGACGAAAAGTCGCAGAGTAAACAAGTAGTGTTGGAATTCACGAATGAGATGGAATGTGAAAAAGCTTATCTTGATCTCGAGGAGGTAACTTTTAATCGTTTCAAACTATGTCTTTTCTTCTGCCAGATGGCTTAAGATTCCGAAAATTTTACACATTTTTCTACTAAAAAACAATAAGAGAAAAATGATGGATAGCAATTTTAATCTTATGCAAGGATAGGAACAGGGAAGAATTAGAACAGAATGACTATAAGGAGTCATAAGGAATTTTGTTTCTAGATGACATTTCTTTTACTTGGCTGCAGTGTTACATTTCCAACTTTCATAAATTCATTTCCTTTCAGGGAATACATCTTTTGAAAGAATATTCGGATCAGGAATAGTAAAAAAGAGAGATATCATAATGATTTTTTTTTCTCTTGAACATTTCATCATTTGTGAAAATTGGACTGAAGTATTTGTATGATATGATATGCACCTGTTTTGATGCTTATAAATGAATGGACTGAGCAAATACTTCACATATCGCTTTTTTCCCCCAAATATGGTTTCATTTTTTATATCAGTAGTACGTAAGTCATTGTCTGCAATACTATTACACTAAATAGACAGGATTTATTGAATCAATTGCAATTCCATGCATTGTTGAAATAGATTCGCCGAAGTTCAGTGAATTAGCCATATGTTTGATAAGTTCACGCAAGTTTCTGAATATCATTCCCAAAAATAAAAATTGGTATCTAATGGTGAAATTATATATTTGGAAGTGAAATTTATCGCTGAAAAGACTTTATAGGAAGTCTAAAATATAATTATTCTCAAAATCTTTTTTCTTTTTGATCATGTTCTTCCATAAGTCTAATCAAATTTGTTAATGCCATCAGAATAAAAGTTTGGAATAAAAAAAAAAAAAAGTATTCACATAGTAATGTCGAAGTGCAGGATTTTCAGTGATTTGACAAATGATGCTGGTTTACTACTTTTGCAGTGAGAAGGTCCACCGCATGTGGTAATATCTTCTCTATCACTTCGAAACATTCCTATAATGTTTATTTTCATTTATACTTGAAAATAATTAAAATACCTTTTTCACGTTTTATGCCTATTTAGTTGATTATTTGTAGTTTTTGGATTTAGGCTTAATAATATTTTAATTTCTTAATCATTATTATGAATTACAGTGAGAAGTGTAAAATGATATATTAGTTAAGCAGGAATAAGCTTACCTTAACAGCTTTTGGACTTCCGGGTAAGTTAACAATTAACGTAGAGCCACGAATACCCGCACATAGCCGTGATAGTGCAGCAAGTGGCGTAGCTTGCAATGAGCGCATGTGAAGTGCTGTTTCTATTCCGCCACATTTTTTTTCAATAACATTTTGTGTTGCCTGAAAGAAAAATGATATCAATCCAAATGATAATACTGATAATTGTCCTTTTTTCTAAAGTAATTTAATTCATTAAAAAGGGGGAAAATTTCTTTTTTATAAGTTTCCCATTGAACTTTTATTACATTGAATTTAAAAAAAAAAAAAAGAACTTACAATTTGAGTTGTTCTCAGGAATAAAAATATAAAAAATAAAAGTTAAGTAGGATGTAGAATTGAGTAAGAAACTAACTTCGGGTGTAACATCTCGTAGTGAAAAACCAGTTCCACCCGTTGATACAATCACATCTAAAGGATAACTTTTGAATACAAATTAAAGTAAGCCTAACTTTACGAAATCATACTATCTCTTCTTTTTTTCGCATTTATCTAACTTTAGAAGCAATAAGGTGATAATTGATAAGTAAATGTCCGAGTTACTATCATCCCAAAGACATTACTTAGTATTACTACAATAATTTATAGCATAATTATCAAGAAGAATTATTTTGAAAGGACATGAAACATACCGAAAGTTTTGCATAAATTAATTAGCATATGCGCAATTTCTTCTTTCTCATCTGATACCAGGAAATTTTCCACATCCGAATTAGATAAGCTATATTTTTCAAAAAAAAAAAGAAAAAACTTTTTAAATTATCAAAGTTTAATTTCAATTTTTTTAAGAATAATTTTATATTATTTAAAAACTAAAATTAGATATAAATGTAAAGTTAAGAAGATTGAAATTAATAAATTTCGATTTATTATTTCTGGTTCATATTTTAAAATAATTTAAACTAACATATTCGAATTAATTATTAATTGCCGTAGAACTGGACCACTAATATCCTCTCTTGTGCCATTCCAACAAGAATCACTCACTATAAATGACATAAAAAATATGAAAAAAGTATTATAAAATGAATTAAATCTAAATTTACAATTCAAATTAATCAGTATAAAATTAATCTCACACTACACTTTTTTGATTTATTTACAATAAATAATTTTTTCATTTCATTTTATATTTATTAATCTCATCAAAATATACCATAGATTGGTTACATTTTTTTATTAATCTAAACTGAGAAAAGTTTATAATCTAAATTCGAAATAAACATTAATAATTTCTTTTCCGGAATTCTTTATTTGAAATGTATTTAATTCCATCTAATATATTATTATAATTTAAATTTATTTTCACATAGAAAAAAAAGTAGAATCACACCTTCACGTGTTGCTTATTATCTATCTATTGTACCTGTCCAATCAACAATCTATTTGATAATAATTTAACTAAAAACTATTTTATATTTATCGATCGATCAATCAATCATAGCTATTTTACTCATTTCACCATTCTAATTTATCTGTCAATCGATATTATTTGAAATTTAATTTTTTTTTTCAAATTAATTAATTAATTTTTTCTAAAAAAGAAAATACCTGTAAGTATAGCAATTCGCATATCGAATATTGCAACAAAATTAATTTTAATTAATTACTCGTTGATAAAATATCGATTCATTTTTTACGGCCATCGTTGAATGAAAACAACGAATGCAATATGATCGATCATTTGATGACTCATTATTTGATGACTTTTTGTAATATTTATTTTCAATTCCTTTTTATTATTTCATTTCAGAAATTAATAATTAGACAAACAAAATTTAAAAAAAAAAAAAAAACAAAGTTATAAATATTATTTACAAATAGTTTGAATTTTGCAAACGGTAATAATATATTATTGATAAAACATAGTGAATAAAAGTGAATTTAATTATTTTTTTTTAAATTGTTAGCAATTTAATTAGGCTTACATACGTTACATATTTTTTAGCATTCTGTAAGTGTAAAATATGAAATTTTTAAATTACTAAATTAATTTAATGGAAAATTTTTGCATCGCATATATTTCTCTGAAAATAGAAGAAATATAGAAGTGTTGCAAACTATTAAATTATTTCAAGAAATATTTTTGCTTTAAAAAAAAAGAAAAAAAAGATAACAAAGAAAATTGGGAATTTATCATTTTAAATGGGTTAAATTAAATTTAATTTTATCTTAAAAATTTTTACTGAAACATATACATATATTATATTGATATGAAATTTTTTTTCTTGATGACAACTTATTTTTAATTCTTTTTTTTTTAAAATGTGTTAATTACTTGATAACATTTGCGTTGATTTACATAGAAGAAAGATTTGTGATAAAGATTTATTGATTTGATAAAGGATTTATTCCAAATAAATATTATAAGAAAATTGTGACATAATTTCTATTAAAACTTTTGTACGAATTAGTTCTCTTCTACTCATAATATTATATAATAATCAGTTAATTTATATTAAGATAATTATTGGATAATATCAAGGATAGAGATAATCGATAAAAATTTGATTAGTTATTAAATTAAATTTAGTAAATTAAAAAAAAAAAGAAAAAATTAGAATAAACAATTTGAATATTTATAGATATTTATAACAAATAAACGACAAATGATATTCTTCGATTTTTTCATTTTATGGTAAATATTAATAAAAATTGAATTAAATCGATTCACCAAATGCATATAAATTTTCAAAAATTATAAATTAAAAGAGTTTACGGATCAATTAGACAAATTATTTAAATAAAACTAAATTTTTATAATATAACAATACTTTTAACTATTTCAAGATATTTCTAAAATATTTCAATTCGTCTGATTTTATAAAAAATTTAGCATAAAATTTTCATGTATAATTTGCATGATTATCCGTCAATTATTCCTGATTCGCTTTATAACAGAAAAGAATATTTATTAGAATATTAAAGTTCCAATTAACAAATACTGCTAGAAATAAAATTTAAATTTACTAAAACCCATAATATATTTTATGAAACATTTCATTATAAAACAAAAACCAATATTCTTTTTAAGCATATATTTCTTCAATTTTTTGTGAATAAATTTAAAAAAAAAAATTCTCTTCTTCACTTTAGAAATAATTTACATAAAAAAAAAAAGAGAGAAAATAATTCAAAATTAAATTTTACATATAAATCAGAGTTTTTTAAATTCATTATTTCATTAAATAAAATAAAAGGAATGATTTGGTGGTGGTGGGAATATTTTGAACGATGGCGTATTGATATAGCATATCGTTTGCTACGTTGTGTTTATAGTCATAAAGATTTTGAGCATCAATGGTATCCACAAATTTTAATTATGCAAATTGATGAAAATCCCGAATGGCTTGTTAATTGTCAAAAATTAATTGCTGTAGCAGAATGGATTAAAGATGGTGCAGCATCTAATATTGTTGCTGTATTATGTGAAGTGCTGTTGTTCTTCGATATTTTTACACTTTTTTTTTTCCTATTTGTTTATTTATTTTCTTTTTTTTTTTGCTAATTAATTTACATTTTATACTTTTAACAAATTTATTTTTATTACTGAAAGATATATGTGTGTAAATAAATAAATTAAATGAATGAAAATAAGTTTAAATTTATTAAAAACTTGAATACACTTCATAATATTTTACTAAAAAAGATAAAAAATCATATTAAGCACATATTTCTATTCTTTTTATACATAATACATTTAATTAGACTAAATACATAAATTAAAAAAAAAAAAAGGATTTAGAAAAAGATAATTTGTTGAATAAAAACTTCTGTTTTATTTCATAACAAATTTCCGGTAGAAAATATTGTAAACAAGAATATTTCTTTACAGAATTTATTTTTAATAATTTATAAATGAATATTTAGGACAAATTTCAGGTAGAAAATATTGTAAACAAGAATATTTCTTTACAGAATTTATTTTTAATAATTTATAAATGAATATTTAGGAATTATGTTTACATTTTTATCAAAAACAAACGAAACAAGAATTAAGCAACTTTTTTAAATTTATCTAAAAAGATTGAAATAAAATTTTCAGGGACATACACAGGATCCAGATACCGGTGAATATTTACGTTTAGTGGAAGATGCTGTAACACAACTGGTTTGATTTTTTCATAATTTCAATATTTTTTTAAATCATTGACAAACTTTATTTTTGGCTCTTTTTTTTTTTTTTTTAAATATTTTTATATTTTTGCAATTTCTTTTCTTTTTTCTTTAATTCATCAGTGAAAAAAGAAAAAAACGAAAACAATTATTAGTCAATTTTATAATTAAATTTTTTATATTAAAAAAAAAAGAGTTAAATGCTTAATGGCTAAAATTATATTTAATTGTGAAGTAATTGTGCCAAATAATTTTTAATTTTAATCATTAATTTTTCAAAATATTAAATAATTCCCGAAAAATTAAAATTTAATTACTTTATGTTTATTCATTATTTATTTATTTTTTTTTTAACTTCTTCAAATTCATTTTTATTACCAAAATTTTTGCATTTATGTTTCAATTTTTTATTTCTACTTTTTAATTTTTTGGTTTAGATTGGTGAATCATGCCTCAATGCTCATCATTTGGTTGTATCATATGAGAATTTAAGTGAATTAAATGAAACTGCTTCAGCTGTAATTCAGTGTTCCGGATTAGGAATCCTGAAACCAAATACAATTATTATCGATTTTCCGAAATGTGTCTCTTCATCAAATTTGTTAGCATTTTGTTTCGCTTTTGCTTGTTTTTTCTTTTGCTTAGTAGTAAACAAATAGGTTAAAGAAAGAAAGGGGAAGAGAATTTTCAAAAAAACCGATTTAACTTTTTTCTTATTCTTTTTATGTTTCTAAAATTTGATCCATGAAATAATAATTGAAATTTAAAAAGATTCTCAATTAATTTACGTATATTTTTTAAAACAAAATTAAAATTTTAAATCAATTCATACAATCATATTTCAAAAATAAAAATCCAAAGTTTTAAATGAATTACAATTAATTGACATATATTTTTTCTTTTTCCTATAGAATTAATTGAAATTTTAAATCAATTCATACATTCTCATCTTAAAAAAAAAAAACAGAAAAAAAATTTGATTGAAGAAATAAAATTTGAAATTTACACTATTGGTATATAATTTACTCAATATACTAATACATTTTCATTTTTATTTTCTTTGCTGGAAGAAAAATTAAGTTTGAAATTCGAATGTTTGAAATTCAATCACAAATATCGTTAAATAAAAAAAGAAAAAATTGCCTAAGGACACACATATTTCAAATTTTACGATTACTTTAAAATGTGCAACTTTAAAAAAAACGAAAAACTTAATTGGTTACAACTTTCTAATTTTTCACTTTTTTTACCGAATGAAAAAAGACGAACTTTACATTGAAGTTTAAAATAATGAAGTATTGGTAACAAATTTTTATTGGAAAAATTAAAAACAATTAATCTTTTAACTTATTTTTTCTCATCAATTAGCATATTTTGTTGTCACTAAATTGTTCAAATAATTTAATCATTGCTGATAAAAACTTTTTTAAAAAAAAAATGAAAATTTTAACTAGGAATAATATAATACTGTAATGATATTATGAGTAAATTTATTAAATTTTCTCAAAAATAAATTTGTCATTCACTAAAATTTAATTTCCAGTCACTTTAGTGTATTTTTGTTTTGGTTTAACAAGCAAAGATTGTTAAAATTATCGGAAAGATTATTCAAAAGATAAGTCTAATTATTCAAAAAACAGTACTGTTAAAATCATTGAGGTCTCACATAAGCCAATAATTAATAAGCTTGATTAAATTTAATTTAATTATTTGAATGAGAAAATTTTGTTTATTTATTTTTTTGTAGTTTATATCCTGGACAAGGTGAATTGTGGAATCGAATTGCAGCGACAGTTGACAAATGCTTGCTAATATGTAAGGGTGATTTGTGGAAACCTGTGCCATTCAATTTGGCTGTTAGTTTGAAATACTTAAAGTTATTTTGTAAAATAAATACTTCCTTGACACAACTAATTATTTGATTAATTTTTTATTTACCTGAATTATCAATTCAAGTAGTTAGTAATCAAAAAATTTTAAATAATCAATGCATTATCAATAGTAGCTAATAGTTTAAGTGTTAAGGTTGTTAAATTGATAAAATTATCTACTGATACTACTGATATCTAATGATAATTGATTTTGCGCAATTATTTTTCTGTTGCTCTTAGCTATTTGTTAAAATTGGCTAGTCGAATAGGATAATTAATATGCTATCAGTTGATAATTAGTCTGTTATCACTGGTGAATGATGATTTGTGACTTAAATAGATATAATTGTTGATAACAAGATTTTAACTTATGATTATTATTATTGATAGCAAGTGTGTAATAATTATTATTGATAACAAGTATTTGTCTTTAAAAAGTTAAATGCTTGTTCCCAATAAATAATTTTCTTAATCAAAATTCTAGTCAATTATATTTAAACTTTAAAAGATTCTAATATTTCATGAATTTTTTAAAATTTGACTTACCATAATCAATAATTAAAATTTAGTCTACATTGGATTTATGGTGGGTTGTGGAAGGTGATGATCTTTTGCTATCCTTTATTTATGTTATTTCTAGAAATTATCGATGGACATTTACAAAGTAATTAGAAATTTATTTTTAAAATTTAAAGGAGTAATTAAATTAAGAATAGAATAACTATAATTTTAGTAAGTTTTACTTAATACGTTCAATCATTTTTCAGTATTTAAATTATGAAAATTTTTAATAATTAATGGTAAATTTTAACAATATATAAAATGATAATAGTATATGATAAATAAAAAATGTTTTAGTAATATGAAATGCATTTAACAAAATTATAATTCATTCAGACTTCGAATATTTGCGGTGATTAAAGAGACAGAAGTTGACGATGTCAAAGATCAAACTTCTAAACGAATTCATCAGGCATCGCTTGAAGCTGATAGTATAGAAATTCGATCAGTTGCTGCCGATGATATTGCAGCATATGGATGTACTTATGTTTTATTCGTATCATTCATCGTAATTTATTAATATAATTATATTTTATGATATTTATGTTAATTAATTTCAATGATTTCAATTCAAATTTCAAATAATATACAGATATTAACTTTATGAGCACATAATAATTAAAAGTACAAATTAAAAATACAGTAACAGAGAATATAATATCATTAAGAATGATAATAGTATTATTAATAATAATAATAATTGATTTAATAACAATAGCATTAATAATAATAATCAGCAATAATGACAATAATAGTAACTACGATAATGATTCCTAATAATTACAACAATAGTAATGAGAATAATAAAGCAATAATAATAATTAACAATAATAATACTAATAATAATAATTAATAGTAATAATATTCGTAATAATTCATGCCTAATTTTTTTTTTTTTTATTTTATATTATTTCATTATTCCGTTTAACTACTTTTTCTCAAACAATTTCTAAGCCATCATACGATGAAATTTGTGAAAAAATTTTTCACGTTAAAACATTTTCTATTTGGTTGGGTAAAATTGAATAATTACAAAATTTTAAATTGTTTGAGAATTATAAAAAAATTTAACATTGAAAGCACAAAACATAAAATTAATGTTTTCTCTCCCTCTTACTCTCTTCAATTTCTATAACTATTAATGAATAAATTCATATAATAACAATAATAGTAAATTGATTTTTAAACAATTTCTAAACATAAAATTATTTTTTTTTTCTGTTATCTTATAACGCAATTTGTGAAAATTTTCCATGTTAAAGCATATTTTGTTAGCTTCGGCAAGATCAAACAATTAAAAAGTTGCATAAAGTTTGTGACAACAAAGTTTAATTCTGGTTTTGAAAATTTTTTTTCCCCAAATTCATTCAGGTGACATTTTTTTTCTTCTCCAAAACAATTAATCTAATTCGAAAACTTGTAATAATAATTTTAGCTGCTAAACTTTCAACACATCAAAATATGCAAGAAAACGAAGGGTCAAAAGGTCGGCGAATATATAAGGTGAATCAGTAATTATCTATAAAACATAAGTCAAAAGTGATTTGCATAAAATAGATAAGTAAAATTAGAAGTGAATGAAATTTTTTGATATTTTCCTAACGAATTTTTTGCAGTGATTCAATTTTTGACTCTAATATTTGATGGATCAGTTGAATTAATTGCAGAATGAACCACCTGTTGGATTAAATAGTTTGATAAGAAGTGAATCAGCAAATGCTGATTTAATTATGCTTAATTTGCCACGACCACGTGGTGATATGCCAGCATCAAGATTGTTGCAAATGTTAGATGTCGTCACGAAACGATTAACACGTGTTGTCATTTTTAGACCACCTATTAATTTTTGAAAAATATTTTTAATTTTATAATTTTAATTGTAATCTTTTGTTAATGTAAAAATTTTTATATTTTAAATATAATAATTTCATTCAAATTTCATTCAAGTCAAACATAATGCAGTATATTTATGCTATTTGAAACATTTACAAACTTTTATAATTAACAAATAAATTGAGTTATTTGTTGTTTCAGTACACTTATCAACGTGTATATCATTTTTCCATATTTCAGTATTCGATTTATTTGTTTTATAAAAAAATTTCATTTAAAAAGTATTTCTCAACTTACAGCTAACTCACAAATGATTTTATAGTATTATGATTAATCAGTAAAAAGAATGTAAAAAAAAATTGCAAATTAATTTCTTTAATTATGATTTATTGTAATTCAAGAATCAAATTTTATTGACATAAAACAGAATTTCGGAAGAATTTTTATTCTGCTTAATCAATTTTTTTTTCTTGCAGCCATATTAAATGTTTTATTTCTGTACATTTAATTTACATTTTCACCTTGAAATTCAAATAATATATATCCATTTCTTTAAAATAATAAAATTTTATATTAGATTGCACTGAAATTCAAAAAAAAAAAAAAAAAAAAAACCATTTAAAATGATTCAAAAATTCAGTAGTGCATAATTGATCAGTTTTGAAAATAAATATTGCATAGAAAATAAAAATCTAAAAGTGGTGGTTTGCAATTTAATATGAAAAAATTTTATTAATGTATTTGGCAAAGGTTTTAATTTTGTCGCTTATCGTTTTTACATGTATGTGACAATATAAGTATGTTATTTATGATTACATCATGATGAAGTTTCTTTTCTGATATAAAGTACTGATAAGAATGGTGTAATTGACAGTAGAAATGTGATAGCTGTTAAACAGATAAATCATAAACATAAATTAACTCTATATCAAGTATTATTAATTAATTAATGTGTTCATTTCAAATATGGCACTTATTTTTAAATATATTAATACTTAATAACATTTTTTTTTAATCACTATATTATCATTTTCCTATCAATAGTACCATTTATATCATTATATGATATCAAAAATTAAATCACATTTTGTTGTAATTGAAGACTTAAAAAATTTAAAATTTTTTTTAGATGAATGTTAAACATGACACTTTGGATATGTTTAAAAAAAATTTCCCTGTGTCACTACATAATACTCAACAGCAATCTTTTTTCAATTACTTCATTATAGCAGGAAAAAAATGATAGTTAAATAATTGAGAATGCAAAACAAAATCAAAATTGTTATCAAAAATTTCAGCTAAAGAGTATGCTTACAATTCAGTTTTCTGAACTTAATTAATTAAAAAATCAAAATGAAGTAGAAAATAAAGTAACTGGCAATTGTTGAAACATTTTAAAAGCTAACAGATGAGCAAACAATTGTTTAACTCTTAATATTTCTATTAACATTGTTTGAAAGATAATTTTGCATTAATTATTTCATTAATGAATTCCATTTTGTTTTTTTTTTTTTTGCGAAAATATCATAAATCATTTAGCTATCATCATTAAAAAATATAAAATAGTTTTGATTCTTTCATCTTTTGTTGATTTTGAAGCTTTAAAGGTTTAGATCAGAAGGTTTTTTTTTATTAATTATAATTTTTTTCACATTTTTTCGTTTTTTTGCTTGCGGATGAAACCAGTTTTCGATTGGCAAATAGCGCTGACTTCAAAATTATCAATTAGTTCGTCTTTTTTTTTCTCTATGACTAGCAGAAAAAACTTCTGCAAGAGAAATAAATTTATATTTATAAAAAAAAGAAAAAAAAAATGAAATCGGAGCACACAATTAATCAATAATTAAAGATATATTAGTTGTATGATTGATACGGTATAACCGTAATGTGAGGGTACTACTGTAATCGCTGAAGATTTTTAGGTATGAATGACGGGATGTTACTGTAATGAGAAAATATTATTGCAGCAATTAAAAACTTAGCTTTTGTTAGTTTAACGAAATGTTGCTGTTATGTAATACTTCAACTAGCATTAATCAAGAATGAAAAGTGAAACGAGCATCAAAAAATGATTGGAAATTTGTAACATTTTTTGCTTTTTTCATTTGGTTCCTTTTTTAAATCTTAAAATTGCAAACATATATTTTTATCAATTGAGCATAAATGGGTAGGTATGGCTGATTTGTTTTAAATTTTTGCAAAAAATGTGGATGATTCATTGCTATTTTTATAAATATTCGAAAGTGCAAATTGCTGTAACGCACTTCGACTAATTTTTAAATTTATATTTCACACTAAAAGTTTAATGCTTTGAGTACTTTGTAATAGCTGACAAAAACTGTAAAAAATATTTCAATAAGAATTCAAATTTGTTGAACTATTTAAGATAAACGTTAGAAAAATATTATATCGAATGATATTTTTTATTGATAATATTATAAAGTAATACAAGTGTTAATTAATCAAACAATTGATTTCAACTATTTCAACAAAAATTTACAGTATTGTGATCACAAAAAAGAAAAATGCACTAAAAAAATGGATAATTTTTTATCTCATTAAGTTTTTAAAAGAAAAAAATAACCAAAAACGAAAAAATTTCAATTTTACAATATTATTTTATATCGATTTAAATGCTCGACTCTATTGTAGGAATTTTTAACAAATTAGAAATTTAGTGAAATTAAACTTTCTCGTCTAGATTAGTCGATTTTAATTTCTCATCCATCTCTGCGGATGGATGAGAACAAATATATGAATAAATATTAAAAAAAATCAAAAAATAAGGAGCCACGAATTTCTAATCCAATATTATTTTATTTTAGTATTTGGCGTGCTGCACGTATCGGTTTGAAATTTTGTTTTTATGCCGAAAATATTAAGATGCAATTTGTTGAGTAAATATGATGAAAATAGTAAAAAAAAGTGATGAAAAATATTGATAAATGCTGTGATATAAAGTGATTTACTAAAATTTGGATATAACTTGATGACAAATAAAGATAAAATAATTCTTCTTAAGCAATGAATACATCAACCAACTTTTTCAATTCAATTTTTCCATTTGAACTGCTTGAAATTAATAAAAATCAAGATGAAACATTAAAATGATCATCGAAATGAAATAAATGAAAATATTATTGGAATAGCAAAATAAATTTTAAATTGTTAAAATATGATTTAAAATAGATTTAAAAAGAAATGAAATTATTAAACAATCTTACTGATCATTTAGATCAGTAAGATTATTCATTGTAAATCTTGATATTTAGCAACAAATTTCAGCGAAATTCAACTGTGTAATATATCGAATGGATATTCATCAATTTGTTAATTAAATTTAATTCTTTCTATATGCGAAATAAATGCCATAACAAAATTGAAATCAGTATTAATTAATTGTAATATTCAATACTTAAGTATTATTATATCACAAATATTTCATATCATTAATACTAAATAAACATTATTTGATCAATTATAGAACAATTTTTTATATAAATGTAAGGAAAGATATATCAGTAATGATTGTAATGATAATTATATAATAATGAATCAAATAATAATTATTAGCAAGGTTAATTACATTAATCATTATCAACTGATAAATGGAAAAGAATGAAAAGAAAAGTTGCAAAAACCGAAGAAAAATTATTTAGATTAAATTTCATCTAAACAAACAAAATATGTTTACAATGAAGAAATCGACAAATAGTGCAATCTACGCCAGTTGTTGACAAAAAAAAAAAGAAAAAAAAAAAGGAAAATGATGCTACAAGATGAACTTCAAATTTTTTGAAAATTAGTAAAATAATATAATAATTAATGTCTGTTAATAATTATTAGTTTGTAAAATTATCAATTATTATCAATAATTTAAATTGAAAAGTCGTATCTAATTAGTTGCATTAAAAATTGATTAGCAATGTATCAAATAATGACGGAATTGAATTGATTAGCTTTGTTAAATTAATTAGTTTGTTAAACTAAAGTTTGTTTCATGAAGCATAAAAATGTTTGTTATGAAAAATAAAGTTTAAAAGTTGCGAAGAATTAATAAAGGAAGATAGAAAGAAGAGAAGGAATAAGGAAGAGGAAGAGAGGAGGAAGTTGAAGAAGAAGGAAATAAAAAGAGGGAAGAAAGAGGGAGGAGATGGAATGAGGAAGGGAATAAATGAAATTTGTTCAAATTGTGTCAGTTGTTGAGCTGAGTGTGTCATAAGAGTGGTTCAGTTAAATTTCAAATTTAAGCAATAACAAAATGAAATCAATTCTTTTAATCCTATTTTCTCTAATTAATCCACTAAATGGATGCATACATGATGGTAATAATTACAAGGATGGCGATACTTGGGTTTGTTTACTTTTTCATCACTTCTATTAATTCTTATAATTTGTTTATTTACTTTTTAATTGATACTACTTCTTTTGTTTCTTTTTGCTTATTCTGGTTTATTAATATTTTGAAATTTAAGTTAGTATAAAAGTATTATTTAAGAGAATATTTAAAATATGCATTTTTTTCATCAATTTTTTGCATCAATGTTTTAATTTTGAAAGTCTTCATAATTTTATACATCGAAAAGATAATAAAAACAGGTAAATAAGGAATGACAAATTTAACTGAAAATATGAATGATAATGAAATTATGCATTATGTGCATTTTAAAGTGATATATCATCAATTTTACAAAATTCATATAGCAATTTTAAAATAACTGTATGTTTAGGGAAAGAAAATTAAGTATAAATAAACTTTAGAAATTTGAGGAATTTTACATAAATAATCAACAAATAAATATGGAAATTAGCAAAGAGATACTATTAAATCATTGTTCAATAATTTGGATTACATTAATTTAAGCATATCAATTTCTAAATGAGTGATTACTCATAGTGTATGCATTTTTTCAAAATTAACAATCATTTATTAGATTTAAGTGTAAAAAAAAAATGATTAGGATAAATTAATAGGTTGAAAAAGATGCATTTGTTATGCGATGTCGCATGACTGATGATGGGACATCTTGGATGGTTGAGATAACAGGATGTAAGACACCATCGGGTGCAACAATATCAATTAATTCAAGTATAATTGATGGAGATTATGAATGGAAATGTTCAAAAAATAATGATGGACAAATTGTAATGCAAAAAACTTTACATGCAAATGCAAAATGTGATGAACATCAGCGTGGTAACAATTAATCCCTATTGTTTAATATTTCTAATAATAAATTTAGCACACCGATATTAAAAAAATTTATGCATTTTTTAAATTTTGTGCATTTAAAAAAATTTATGCAAAAATCATAGCTGTCATAAATTTTTTATGACAGCTATGATTTTTTTTTTTTTTTTTTTGCTTAAGATATTTCAAATTGCTATAAATTTTCATCGCATTTCAATTTTTTTTGTAAAAAATGTTTTCTTTTTATTAAAGTAAATTATACTCAATGATTTTTTTTTTATTTTTGTTTTTGAAATGAAAATAATATTTAGGTGAACAGTGGCGTGAGAAATCATTTTTATATGAATGTGGAGCAGGTGGCCAGAAAAAATTGATAGCCTGTTTTGGTCAAGATAATGAACAAATAAATGTTGGTGAATCAAAAGAAATTGGTGGATATATTGTGAAGTTTGTCAATTATTGTTTTTTGTTTTTTAAATTTAATTTAGTATCTAATTTGTCAACTTCTATACTAATGTTAGCATAGTATAATTATGATGACATTAAATATTAATTATGATAGTAATAAGAGCAGAAGTTGTAATAATGACAGTAATGATGATAGTAATAATGGTAACAATAATAATAATAATAATAATAATAATAATAATAATATCGACAGTAACAATAATGATGAACCGAGAGAAATTAGACAATACAAATTGATAATTGTCATTTCTTACTTAAATCAGTAATACAGTGTATTTTTTATTAAATTAAATAACGAAAATATTTATTAACAAAACAAAACGAAAAAAAAAACGAAATATAATCCATGAAATTATATTTTCTTTAGGAGCAAATTTAAAAAGCTAATTTTTTTTTAAAACTAAAAATTAAAAGAAAGACTTTAAACCACCGTGCAAAATGATATTTATTATAATTTTCGCTACTCAAATACTATATTATTATTTGTTTGTTCTTAAATAATATATTATAATTGAATATGTACTGCAATCAACTTCAAATACCGTATGTACAGTTTAATTTTCCGTCACTGATGTGATGACATTTTCTTCAAACAATGCATTGCAAATGAATAGGGACAGTCTGATAGAAATGTCATAATTTGGCTTAAAAATTACTGTAACTATTAGCAGTTGGCTTATTTGTTTATTTTTTTCTTTTTTAGATGCGAAAAATATGATAATGGAACGGTTATAGTACATGGCATACGCAAAGGAACCGAAAATGGAACAACATTTCAGGTGGAATGCATAGATTCGAAAGGTGAACATCATGTTGCAGGTATGTATACAGTATGCAAATGTGTGTTACAGTATGCAAATTTATATTACAGTATGATAAAAATAAAAAAAGCAAAATCTTTTTTTTTTTTTTTTTGAAAATAAAAAATAATAAATTGTTTAATTATCAAATTATTTCATTTTATATTTTCATTTAATTATGTACTCAATTTTTTGAAAACTTCTACTCCATCATTACTATTTGGCAATATTTCTAATTTTAATCAGATTTTGATTTTTTTTTTTTAAAAAATAAAATCAAATTTGCATTAAGCTTGAATTTGCATAATATTAGTTCAAGAAAGTTCTCACTTTTCTTTTTGTAACGAAATGATTTTAAATTTTTGCAAATTTTTCTTTCAAAAGAATTCAGAATTAAATAGAATTAATTATATGAAAAAATGTTAGCACAAAAAATAATTTTTTGCTGTTCATATTTGATGAGTGTAAAGTGATTATAAATGCGTATAAAATTAAGTTGTTTAAACTTTTTTTTTTTTTTTAATTTTCAAGCACACACTATAAATATATAAAAAATGAACTTTGCGTAAACTTTTTACGGTTTTTTGATTATTAATTAATACAATGATACGATTATTACTTTTGTAAAATTTGAAATCACATATGTTGCAAGAAAAGTTTACAATACCAAATGTGTAAAAAGCAAAAAAGATATACGATGTATTGGCAAGAGAATATTTGATTTTGATTATTTGATGAGTAAGTAAATTTAAATTATAATACATTATTGTTATCATTAAATTTTGCAGATTCATGGTGGATAGATGATCAACGATTCAATAAGACATGTTTATCATCTGGCAAAATTGAAGTATTAAATTGCATTTCAAAAGATGGCATTAAAATTCCATTGAATAATGAAATAAGCGTTGGTGACACGAAATACACGTACGTTTAACTTTGTTAATTGCTGCTATAATAATTCCATTTATTGATTTTTTAATTTTGAGCAGATTAATTATGAAATATAAATTTAATTAATTGGTATTATTTATTAATGAATATAATAATATGAAATAGAAAATTACAGCAAATAAATTAATATATATTTTTCAGCATCTAAATAATTTAAAATATGTCACAAAATAAGGTTTTAATTAATTTGAAGCATTTATAATAATAGAAATATAATATGAAATACGTGAATATATAAATGAATCAATAAAAAAAGAAATAAACAAATAAGAATAAATAAATATATATATGAATTCGTTAATCAAATGATTTTATTAATAATAATATTAAACATAATAAAATTCTTAGTTCATGATAATAAAATTTAATTCATGAGTTAAAATAATATTTCAATAATATTCAGTTTCTTGACAATGATTTTCATGTTTAGCTATTTTTTGGTGGTAATATTTTAATAATTCTTTCTAACGAAAAAGTTTCTTTTTTGAATTAAACAAAAGGATTTAGATAAACAAATTTTTTTTTAAATTTGATAAGAAAAAAAAGTTTTTCTGTATCATTTTTTCATTAAAAAAACAAAACAAAATGACTAACTAATTAGTTAAAGATTAATAAAATTATTTTACAGATGTGAGAAAACAAGCGATGGTTCAGTACGTTTTGCATCTGGTCCAATTGATGCTAATGGTAAATAATTAATAAATGAAATTAATGAAAGAAGAAGAAAAAACAAAAACTATTGTTTTCAATTTTTCTTTTCATTTAAATTTTCTATTTAATGTTTCCTGCATCGATTCGTTTTTTTGAACTTATTTTCTGAATTAATTGAATAACTGCTAATCCTTAATGAATTGAATTGAATTTTACTATCCGAGAGATTGATCAAAGATATTAGCTTTATCTTTTTATGCAGTAAACATTAGTTTGCAATCTAAAATTAACTTTTAATAAATGAAATGAAGCGATAAATGATTGGATCAGAGATAATAATTACTTTAGGATAGCTTCCAACATGAATAAATAAATAAATAAATTATTTAGCAAATTAAATATTTGCAAAAAAGTAGATTGTAATACAATAATTGTAAAGCATTACTTATTCTCTTCAACCAAACAATTTGAAATATATTAATAAATTTTATTGCAATAATTTTTGGGAATATTTTCAATCATTTCATCATAATTGCAAATATAATTTGAAGTAAAATATATCAAAAAAAAAAGGTAAAATTATTTAATTATAAGAAAATGTGACAAACTTTCTTATTGTTTTATAAAAAAAGCATGCACTGCAATATAAGTGATGTGAATAAAATATATAATTTTTAGTTGTAAAATTTATTAACAACAATTTTATCGCTTTTTTTTCTTATTATAGAATAAATATTTAAAATTAAGTGAGTTATCTGATAGAATTACTCAATTTGCTATGCGTTCTTCAAACTTATATTTGAAAAAATAGTTGTAAATTTAAGTTACATAATTTTATCTGCAGCATTTATTTTGTGTTATACATATTCTTTGCATATTGATCAAATAATAATGTGTTTTCATTTGATACTAACCTTGATTAGATAGAGTTTTCAGATGAAATTAAAATTTATTAAATTGTTTAAAAACAACTGAAAAAGAAACAGTTTATTTCATCAAAACAGTAAGATGGAATCATTATTGAACACATATAATAGAATAAAAATTAAGTTTTAAAAAGAATGATAAATCAGTAAAACAAAGCTTATCTTATGTATATTGATCATCTTATCACTTATCACATCTTATTGACTAGGATGAGAAGAAAATTTTTTGAATATAAAAATGAAACACTTATTAGAAATTTAAATATCAAATTGATCATTTATTATCATTATTTGATGCGAAATACTATATATCTTTCTAAATAAATTAAAATTGAATTTTCCTATCAAATAAAAATTTAATTTATGATAATCATTCTTAAGAATTAATACTAAATAAAATAAATAATTACAAAGACATTTTTAAAAAGAGAATATAAAAAAAAAAAAATCCTAATTAAAAAAGCATATCCAAATCACTGATAATATATTGCGAATCAGACTTTTGTGGAACGTATTCCGAATCTACCTGTTCCGATTCTGATAGAGTAAATGTGGAATTAATAGTATTTGGATCGTTGACCACTTTTGTTCCTTTCTCTTCCGCTGTACCTAAAAGCAAAAAAAAAAAAAAAAAAAAACTGAAACAGTTTTTTTTTTTTAAATTTTGATTTAAAAAATTAACATATTAGATCATTACAAACATGTTTTAAAAAAAAAGGAGAAATTATCTCAACTCATAGTATCACTTATATTTGTCATTGAAACTTATTACTTATAACTAAAAACGATAGTAAAGTTACTGATAAGTTCTAAAACATTACCGTCATTGTAACAATCTATTATTTGTAATCCATTATCATTGTTCAATTCATCAGCTAGATCAAATACACATTCATCATCATTTGTTATTGTTGAATCTATCATAACAGCCGAGCAATCTTTTGATTCTTCAGTTATAAGTTCAGGCATTTCAGATTGCCATAAATTTTCATTGCATTTCAAATTATCATTGTAATCACCAGCAGACTGCAAAAAAAAAAAGAAAAAAATTCCGCTTAATAAATAATAGTAAAAATTAAATTAAAAGTAATAAATGTAATTTCATTGAATCACTGTAATATTATCTATAATATCCACTTTTACCGCATCAAACAAAATAGTTTAATAAAAATATAATATAAAATAAATTATAAATAAATGCAATGATGAAACTTTTCCATGTAATTTGCAATTTTTCAAATTTGTTTGCTACAGCAAAATAAGCTAAATTTAATTAAAATGCAATATTTCAATTAAAATAAATTTATTTTCAATACCAAATAAATAATTCATTTTTCAGTCTTCTATATTTCAGTTAAAGAAGAATTTCGTTTTTTTTTTTTTTTTTAAACTATATTAGTCTATAAAGGTTTAAAATTAATGAAAAGAAAAAGTTTAAGAAATAAACCTGTGGTTGTGTAATGCTATATGTCATAATTGAAGAAGTGTTTGTTGTTGTTTCATTGTAATTTGTTATTTCTAAATCATTATCACTCGTATCATCAAATTCTGCTAGATATGATGATAACGATTTGAAACGTTTTGTTGTAGCAAAATTATACGAATTATCAGAATCATTCGTATACAACGATACTGTTGTAGGATTAACAGTATATGCTGATGATGGATGTTTAAGAGATTCTGAATTAGCTGTGCTACTGGTAGAATTACTATTGCCAATTAGCATTATTCGTCGTATTAGTGGTTTGAAGAATTGTCGATCTGCACTGAGTAAGTGATAAATCCATAGAGATGATTGATCACTGTAAAAAAAGAAAAACAAACAAACAAACAAAAAAATATCATAAAAAAAGATTTATAATTTTATTATTAGATTATTTTAATATAATGTTATTAATTTAATAAATAATTTTATATTATCTTGTTAATTAAAAGTACTAATAATTAGCTAAATATATGCATTTTTTTTAAATGAATAAAGAAAACTATTTGATATATCTAAGATTATAAAAAAAAAAAAAAAAAATAATCGTAAATCTTTTTTATCTTTATAATCGTTAATCTTTGAAAAAAAATTTTTTTTAAGAAATCAAAAAAAAAAAAAGAACCTATGCAAGCGAACTACATGAATAAGTGATGTTTTATACTGTCCCAATGTGACATCAAAATCATTGCATGGTACTACGGTACGTTTGCTATCCGAAACACTTCGTCGATTACAGTATTCTTGCTCAGCCGGTTTCGATAACTAAGTTATACGATATTCATTCATTTTAAATAATTACAACAAGTAATCAAATTAGAAGAACAAATCAACAAGTACTCTAAATGATTATAACAAAGAATCTTTTAAAAACAAAAAAAAAAAAGAAGAAACTAGCTAAAATATATTTATTATCAGTATAGCATTAGAAGTACTCAATTACTTATATTTATTATTGTCCTTTCAACTTTTAAAATAGCAAAAAATTTGAATTAAGATAAACCTTGAAATTCACATAATATCCTTGAAAATTAATTGCTTCCAGGTGACTGAATGGAACTTTATAACCGGCTCTATACGAGAGAAGACCTGAACTGTATGACAAATCGTAAATCAGTTGACGAGAAACAAAACAAAACGTTACACTGCAACTTGAATCTCCCATATTACCACTATTTGCCTAAAAATTATGGTTCAATTATTTTCATTACGTATAAAAAGAAATTTATTAAATACTAATAAATTAATTTATAGTAAAAGTAAAACAAAAAATTTAACAATGTATCAAAAGATATATTCAAGTTTTACGAATTCCTTAATTTCAGTAATATTTTCACTTTCCTAATAATGATACCAGTAATAGTAATAACTCCACTAAGAAATAACATTATTGTAATTTTAAAAAAATTTTGAAATTCTTAAAATTCTGAATTTTTGGGAGATGTTTCCTAGATTTATGCAGACATATATTATTGTCTTAAAAATCATAAATTTTCAATATTTTATAATATATTTTGAATTTTTACAAAAAAAAAAAAAGGAAAAAATCACACCGATATTTCATTTCACCCAGGTAACAATTAATTACCAAACAGATTTGGGTAAAACTGGCAGAAAAAAATCAGTCCAAATTGTAATAGGAAAAATCCTATCTATGAATTAATTGAGAAGAAGCGAAACGAAGCATACAATGAATAAACCCATTGATATTGCCGCGACGGGAAATGTTTTCATCTGAACAGTATTTTGCACAACTATTTGTTGTGATTCTAAAACAAAATTTACTTAATTAATTGTCCTTTTTTTTTTTTTTTCTCGAAAAAATTAAACTAAGTAAATTTAAATAATAAGTTTAATTTCTGAAAAAAAAAAAGGAGTACTTTAAAACAAATCATATTTAATATATTAAAATTAGATAAAGTTATAAAAAATATTTATACCTAATATTTAAAATGAATTGTTACTTTGTTGATTTCATATCACAAAAAAAAAAAAAAAATAATAATCAAATATTTTAATGTTTATAAAATTCATAAAATCTTGAAATTTATTTGAAATTAGTTTTTAGAGCAAAACTATAGTTTAAAAAAAAAACCAAAAGCTAACTATGACGTGGTCTTTTCATTCTTTTGTGTTGTTTTGATCTGCTAGAAGTCAATCGTCGAATTGTCTCTCGATCATTAAATTTTGTATTACCATTTCCATGATCATTTTTTGAACCATTCTGCTTCTCAACCTAAATTTCAATTTAAAATTAAGGTTAGCAATGAATTACAAGAATAATTTACTTTTAAATTTAATTTTATAATACTACAGCAACAATATAACTAAGTCGTAGAACAAAATTAAAATAAAATTATAGAAAAGAAATTTCAAAATTTTAACATTAATATAAGTTAAATTTCAATTATAACTTTTCCTTACATTTTTCTTAAAAGTGTAGTGCATATTATTTTTAAAAGAGAAAAGAAAAAATGATAAAATTAAAAAAGGGAAAATTTACCTTATTTAATAAATTACGAAGTTGTCTTACGGTAACACAAGAAAATAAAATATTTGAGTATTTTTTAACTTCTTTCTTCTCTCGTTCACCTTTTTTCTTACGACGTTTCTCGTATGCATGTTGAATTTCAGATTTTCCTGTTGATTCAACATGTTGTGCTTCTTCCATTATTATTATTATTTTTTTACCCTTAAATTTTTTTTCATTTTTTTTAAATTAATAATTTCAATTAATTGCACTTACGTAATTAAGTGTTAGCAATTTGTATGGTTTACTTAATAAATGCTACTTATTATTGACATATTTACGTAAATTCTTTACTTAATTAAATAGTTTAACAATGAAATGTTGTGTATAAGTTTGGCTATTTCTTTACATAAATTTACATATTTCATTACTTAATAATGCAAATAAGCTAAAATAAGCTAATATGCAAATAAGCTCAAAGTAAGCAAAAGTAATAAAATAATTAATGTTACAAAAAATATGTTTAAAAAAAGAAGTAGCATTACTAAAATGAAGTTAAGCATGTATGAAAATAAGGTATCGATGAATATGTAATGAATTATGTTGAATATACTGTGAAATGTTTATTCTATATGTTTACAACTTGTATAGCTGATTTGTTCCTTTTTAAAATTTATATTAATTCAAACTAAAAATAAATAAATAAGTAATAAACAAGTGCTTTACTTATACTACAAAGTACTGCAACAAGCAATAAAACTTAGCTGAAAATTGTTTGATGAATAAAATACTACAACATCTAATGTATGTGTGATACGATATGAAATTATTGTTTATAGTAAATTTAACAAAAAAAAAAAAAGTGAAAACAGACCAAAGATCAATTAAACGAAGAAAGCGTAGTTGAATAAAAAAAAAATAATTTTTTAAATTTTTTTTTTTTAAAAATTTTATTTGAAATTTGTTTCATTTAATTACTTTGTTTAATTTCTTTTTTTAACTCTAATCTTTTCACTTTTTTTTTCTTTTCCTTTCTTTTTTTAGATAAAATAATTAAATAAAATTTAGTTACATAGAAAATAAGTAGAAAATAAGAAAAAAAAAGTGCATAAAAACGACCTAATCGACGTGCAAATGCTTGAAACAATGATTGTTTCTTCTTTTTTTGGGTTTTCTTTTTTCTTTTCTTTTTTTTTTTATGGAAAGAGAAAAAGAGAAGACATATGCAAATTTTTGCGTGTTAAGTAAACGGCTGTGTTATTGTGTTAAAGTATGATATATTAAAGTAATCACATATTATCGATTAACAAAAAAGAAAAAAATACCTTCGAATTAGTTACATTTTGAATTAAATTAAATTTTAGATTAATTAATCTATAATAGGAAAATAAATTAAAAATAAATAACAAAGCTCATACATTTGAATTGTTTACAAGAATTAAGTATATATGATGTAATTAAGTAATACAAAAGGCCTAAAGTATAAAATGTAAAGTATAAAAAAAAAGGAAAACGTTTAAATAAAAATTAAAGTTTATATGTAGGAAATGAAAATCACGGCTACGTAATAAGTAATTAAGCGTGTAAATCACTTATTACGCTACTATAATTTTAGTATAACGTAGAATGTATTATAAAGAATTAAATGTGCAAAAAATTTCAACATGATGTTATATCTTTATAATTTCACGTTTTACGCTTAAACCGTTAAAAACGCTCTTCTAGAAATTGTGGAATTGTTAAATTAGAATTAAATTTTGTGCTATTCAATTTCAGTATTTATTATTGAGCTGAATGCATTTTAGTAATTAAATAAAAAATTCATTCTTCATAGAACCAATCTTTAATTGTGTATCTATGAATAATTAATTATCAAATTTGAACTAAATTACATGTGATCTTGGCAAGAAAATATTGATTACTCTTTTTGATAATGGAAAAAAATTTTTTGAAATTAATATTTGAAGAAATTATTTTTTATATGTCTAACTGAAAATGAATGTAATATTAATATTTATTTCTTTAATAGCATAAGCAATAAAATTTTGGATTAAATCAATTTTTCTCTTATCAAATCACTAAATTAATTTTTCTTCTTTTGCACCTCTCTCTCTCTCTCTCTCCCTCACTCTTTTTTGATCTATTTCAAGAATTCTTATGCGTTTTTCCTTTTTTTTTTTTTTTTTTTATTTCATAGCTAATCGGAAATAAAAAGTGGTTTTTTAACAGAAAATTGTCATTCATAATATATGCAATTCGAAATTTAAAGACACACTCCCTTCTTTTAATTCTTCAGAAGTTTAAAATTTGAAAGATTTAAACTTTTATTTTTGAATGTTTAAAAGTTAAAAATGAATAGAAAAGTAGCAATAGATATTTTCTTCGTTACAAAAAATTAGTATATGCAACTGTAGAAATAAATTAATGGTTAATTAGTTACCTTATATTTTAATATTACCCCAGACAATTAGTACTAGCTGAAATTATTGCAAACAATTACCTGCCTATTGTCATTAGTTATTATTGCTGCTATTAGCATACTGATACTTTCTCATTTTCAAATTGTTTGTTTGTCAACTTACATCCCTACATTTGGATAGTAAACTTTTTGTATTTTCAAGCAATCATGCCTTAAATTCCAGATCCGTGATTGGAGTTTGTAGTATAATACACTTACTACTCCTCGAAGATGCAGCGAGTAACTTGACAAATGTTTTGAGTTGTATTTTTTTTTTTTTTTTTTGCGTGATGCAAAGAAGCAAAAAAAAATTTATTAAAGTTTGTTGTATAATTTACCAACTGATAAATTACAATCGTTTTTTTTTTTTCAATTTGCAAAGCAAAATATAACCGAGTCAAAAATTCTTTTTTGCAATCATATGCACAGCTCAAATATAAAATCAATGCATAGCATTTGTTTGATCATGTCGATCATACTTTTAAAGCTATGTCTGTCAACAACACTTCAGACAATTCTATCAAAGTGAAATTTTACATAAGTAACAATTTAAAAATTAAAAACAAACATAATATAAACAGTAAAACAAAACCCTGCAACGTACACAAAAATGAGTGCAAAAAAAAAAAAAAAAAAAAAAAAAAAAAATAGCAAAAAATTTGACTAAAGAGAGAAGATATATCATGAAATGGCTTGAACTTCGCTTGAATTGTTGATATTTGAAGGAATTTCCTTTTTTGTTTTGCTTTCAAGGGCTTTTGACCAAGCATCCATAATTGGATCTGCTTGTGGGGCAATTGATGAACGATAATCACTTGGAGTGCCCAGTGTACCTCGTCCATCATTATTCCTGCAAATACAAAATTATGAAATCGAAAAAGATAAAAAAAAAATTTTTTAAGATATTAAGTATAATATTGCTCAAAACACAACAGATGTGAATTAAAAATGTGGTCTACAACTGAAATGACCAACCTTTCATGGAAATCACGGTTCTGATGATAGCCACCTCGAAATGGTCGACCACACTTCCATGGTCTTCCTGATCCTCGACCACCCCTACTATCCGGTGAATTATATGACCTTTTAAATCCTCCCCGTCTACCGCCACCTCGTCCACCTCGATTTATATCTCGGCCACGAGACATAAATCTCCCATTATCAAAGCGACCTCTTCCGCGGAACTAAATATCAAAATACAATCACTTAAAAACTGATACATTTTATCAGAAAAAAGAACGAATACTATTTAATACGACGTGTCAAATGAACGATTTTTTTCTTCCGTTACAGAAAAGCTTACGTTCAAATAACAAAAGAAAAAAAAAAGTACATTATTTTGATTTTCCTCGCGATTTTTTTGCCTTTGTAATTCTCGAAGTTCTCGTGCTTCTTGCTCGCTGAGCATGACATAATCATTAAATTGATTATCTAATGTAACGATGAAAGTTGGATACTCCAAAATAAAACGATTTCGTGTATTATCCAGAATTGTTTTTGACATGTCTATTACATAAAAACTGAAAAACACAAATTTATTCATCATTTTGCTTGATAAAAATAAACCGAAAAAATTTACTTCCCCTAAAATAAAAATTCATTTTAAATGCAACTTATTATCCTGAAGTTTTTATCACACAAAAGCTAGCATAATACAGTGATGCAGTAAAAAAACTTAAGTCACCCGATAATTAGCTGTTCATATCATTATGATTTCATATCATTTCATAAGTTATTACTAGAGTTAGATCATCTTTTCTTACATAATATAATATACCGTTTTTTTCCCTCAATAGGCACAGGCATATAAATCATCAGCTTATCCATACCAGCTTCCTGAAAAGGTGCCATCTTCTCGGTATCAAGATCTGACTTACTAACAACTGGTCCAACCTGCAAAATCAATTTAACACACCAAAATTTTAGTACAATGACATTACTTTTAATAAGCTTCAACAAATCTCTCTCTTTTAAATATAGTTAAGAATAAATCAAAGACTGAAAAAAATTTTCAGTTGAGAAGATTGAAAGAATAAAACAATCTAAATTCATCATAAAATAAAAATTCATTGAAGAGACTTAGAGCTAAATGTTGTAGAAATCATATCTTAAAAAGAAACCAATTTGGGTTTGATGAATTGTCGCACAAGTGTTGTCACGGATATACTTTCCGGAATATTATTCACTGTGTATTCATTCTCAATAATTTGTTTTACATCCTGAATCTGCTCTTCCCGACGAAAAATTATCCTTATAGTCCAGAATATAGTATCCGAAAATTGCTCGTGGCGAGAACTGTTACCCTCTCAAATTTCACCAAGCATAATTTTTCACAAAACAATTTTGCATAAAATTTTTAAAGAAATTGAAAAATAAAAAACATTTCCATCAAACATATAACAAAGAACTTAGAAAGAACTAATGTATAAAATAATACAAATTAAGAGAAAAAAGAAAAGTTAATGGAATAAAGAAATGAAAAGAAACCTTTGTCAGGAGTGACAGTAAGCCAAATGCGCCTTCGATGAGCATTATTGAGTAAGTAACGTTTCATAGCCATAGCTTTCCGTTCTAAATGCTCTACTGTTAACTCAGTCCCACCATCCAACTATAATTAAAAAACAATAAAATTATAATAAATACCTTATAATAATTACTCTCTTTGTCATTTTCTTTTTCTAATATGGAGAAGGAATGCAAAGGAAGAAAAGGTGAACAGAAAAGTTAATTAAAAAAGTCTTTCAACTGAGTCAGTAAGGAAAACACTGGAAATGACCACTTCAAATATATAAATCATTACTAAATAATCCTTAATTACAATACAATGCACCAAATCGTGTAAAAAAAAGTACTTGTGATGGTGACATTTCTTTCTCATCATTGGTTCCACCCAATACACTTCTACCGCCATTATCATCTGATTCATTTGCGCAGTGTTCATCATGATGAGTCTCAGTAATCTCTTCTGTTGCAATATCAGCAAGAACTTCAAGCTTACTTTCATTTTCTTTTGATTGTTGTGTAGAATCAGGAGTATTTATATGAGCCAAATGATTCGCAGCACTGTTCAGTGATGTTGTAACGGAATTGAGAAATTTTTCATCATCAACAGCTACCGATGATGAATAATCAACAAGCCTTTTGATAACATCAAATGATTTCTGACGTTCACCAGAACACTAAAATATGAAAACAATTCATGCATAATTTCACACAAATTAAGATATTCATTATCAATTGATAACAATAAAAAACATTATCAATTGGTAATATGAACAGGAAGTATTTTAAAAAGAATAAGATTTTTTCCTTACTAAATGATATTAAAATTTGAAACAAATAAAATTCTTCCTTTCAACCAATACCAAAAAAAAAAAAAAAACTCAAGTCTGAAATAAAGTTAAGACTTAAAAACTTACATCATATTTTACTTTATGTTCTTTAGAGCATGGTAATGAACAAGTACGAAATGAGCATCGTGGGCAACGATATTTCCATGATTCATTATGACACATATCACATAATCGTTCTGATGTTGTCGTATTTTCAACAGCTTCTTTTTCAACTGATGATATATATTCCTCAGTTATTTCATCCATAATTTGTATAATATATCTGAAACATTTTTTCTGTCAGTATTACTTTAATTTTCGAAAGACATAAACGAAAAATATTATGATTAGCTATTCATTATTCATAGATTTTTGAGTAAACAATTAAAACTGCAACAAATTTTAACAAGTTTGAGAAGTACACTGAAAAGAAAAAATGAAAAGTAGAAGTTAAATTGGAGACTAATAATTATGCATGGAATGATATAAATATGAAAATAGAAAAAAAAAAAATGTTATTTATTTAATAATCCAAACAGCTAGTTATTTAACAAGTTAAATTCTCAATCCAAGAAGGGAAAGAATTGAATAATAATATGATGAAGTCATAACTTAACTTTCCTCTACCTATCCTTCCCCGTATTTCTTCCCTGCCCGTCGTCAACGACTAATCCGTCCCTCAACCTACCCGAAATAATGCGCTGCTATTTATAACGATCGGTTGGGAGATGAATTGCGAAAGCAATATTCGTCACTTTGTGTCATTTTATCCTTTTGTGCAGGTGTTTGTTGATTTTTGGTGTTTGTCACATTATTTATTTATTTACTCGCTAATACTGTATTAATTACTTATGTATTTAATAACTCAAACAGCTAATCAACTATATATGTAATAACACAAATACCTAAACACTTATGCATTTAACAACGCAAATATTGCAAATGTTTGATAGTTCAGTTACCGAAATATTTACATATTTAAAAACTTGAATATACAATTACTTTTTTGAAATTTTAACTCAAATGCATATTCATCTAATAACTTAAATTAATCACATAAAAATTAATTAGTTGAATTATTTAATAACTTGAATACTGGTGCACTTGATAAGTTTAAATTCTCAGTCACCTATGCATTTGATAGCTTCCAAATGCAGCTTGATTATTTAAATGGCTTCAGTATTTAGTGATATGACTATAGATTTTAATATTTATATATTTAGCAATGTCTAATTAGTCAGAATGTTGCTTATAAATTTGCTAATATCTGTTATAACTTAAAAAGTCCAATTTTAATTAGTCTGAAATATATATTTGATCGCTTTAAATCTACATTTAATGCTTACTTGAATAATCATACTAACATATCACTTAATATGATATGAATGCTTAGTTATTCATATCTTTGCTATAAGTATCATGTAATCCTCAAAAATTTTCATTTATCATTAAATGATAAAATTGCAGGTGCTGTAATTCTTTTCCTTTTATGTTCTTCACTCTTTTTACAAACAGTTGATATTATGCAAAAGATTATGCACTCCACCATATTATTATCACTTATCATAATAAGAGTTTATCAATATAATGATTGTATAGTTTATCATATAATGATTGATTTATTATAAATAAATAAAAGAAAAAATTAGTCCGTTGTGTCGCATATTTATGGAAATAAAAAGAAACAAATCGTTGTATTTCTGTCACAATTAACGATAAACGGAATAATCATTATGGATTTTAATTCTTTTCCTTTTAAATTCATATATCACTGATATTTCTTGAAAATTTCGTTATATGAGTGGTATTTGATATTTTCTAATTTTTTATCATTGATATTCCTTGGCATTCGTTTTCATTAGACATTTCCGGAAATGATGCGATTTATTTTTTAACTCTTTCATATACTAACATTTATTCTCGAAACCAATTTTGTTTCAGGATTCGCAAGTTGTCACTAAACCTTCAGTTTTAGGGTTGAACGAAAAGGAAACGACAAAGTAAGCAATTGCTGTGCCATCCGGTTTTCTTCGCATTGTTATTATATCTCTGGTTTCTCCAGTTTCCGGATCCACTTCGATTTTTATTTTTAGTACTTTTCTCTTCCTCTTTTCTCATTATCTGTTCTTCCAGTTTTGTGTAATTTTTCCTCAATATTATTCTGTGTGAGTTCTATCTTATTTCTTTTCTGTTCGTAAACATCTGTATTCCTCTGTTTTCCGAATTTTTGCTCATCACTATCTCATTTTCTCATAATTAAATGGTTCCTTTTTTTTTCTTTACTACTTACTGAACGTTATGAACCGGAATTTTACATTCGTTTTACAGTGGTCAAAAATAGTGAAATGTTATTTTCAATAATACACTATTCATTGTAATTGTTTCTCTTCACTTAATCTTTATTCCTTTTTTCTCTAATTTCTGAGGAAGGCTTAAATTCTACCAATTATTGAGGTATATTTTTTCTTTCTTATTCATTTTAATTATCTTCAAATTTCTGTTTTCAGTTTGATCAGTTTCTTCGGTAAGATTTGTTCGTTTGTTCTCTTAATTTAATATTTAGCGTGTTATTCTTCATAACTTTAAGCTTTTGCTTTTTTTTTTTGTTTGAAAATTTTAAATGTTACATTTGTTTGAGAAATTGACTTCATTTTTCGTCATCAGTTCCATTCTTTTTGGTTCCAATCGACATTTTTGTCGCAAAAATCCGGAAATATATACAATTAAAATTATGCAGTTTCTCTTGTAATAACATAAAAATGATGACATTATTGATTGTTTTATTTTGCACTTATAATTTGTTATCATCAAAACACTGCACTAATTAGTCTGTAGGTTTGATGCTTCTAAGAGTGCTGATTTTTGCATTTCAGAGAAGAGGGAGGGAGGATTTGTAATATACATATTTTAGAGTCGAAAAATCAACTTATCATTAAAATCTGTCACTAAACCGTAGTTTGGAATTTAAAGTAAAAGTGAAGCTTTGATTTTTCTTAATTATTAATAATAGGATTATTAAAGAAGATAATTAGGTGTCACTGAGAATGCAGGAGGATCTTTCTTATTTTTCAAATTCGTTTTTTTCACATTTTTTTCTGTCGTTTTTTAAATTTTTAATTGAGTTTTACATGTAATGCCCAGTTTATTATACTACTGTTCTGTCATATAATTGTTAATATTTATATTTAATGTATATGTTCCGATTTATATTTATGTTTATTATATTTCTTGTCACCTTTGCATTTCTTATCATTATTTAAATTAACATTTTTATGATATTTATATTATTACATTTTCTTTTAGATCTGTGTCAACTGTTTCTTGTATGTTATTCTAACAATTATTATTTTAATTTTATCTTTGTTATGTTATTTCTTTTTCCTCTCCTCTTTTTTTCTTGTATATTTGAATCATTTTACGTTAAAGAGGTTTACTTCAATCATTCAATAGTAATCGATCTGTTTTTCATTAACAGTTGCTTCATTGGTTCACTGATTCATCCGATCTATATAGCGAGCACTATAAAATTTTCAGCTTTCTTATTTTTTTTTTTTTTTTTCAACAAGTTTAATTTTTGTGTTCGTTCAATAATTCTGATGCAATATATAATTATCTAAATTAAGTATTTATTGCTTTATCTGTTTTTGATTTTCTTTATAATTTCTAATATAATTTAAAAAATTTTTTCTTCTTTTCTTCTCTTACATAATATTGTAAAAAATTATAGCATATTTCTATATTTTTATCCTTTTTTAACATTGTCTTTCAATATTTTTATATTGTACCTCTTTTTCATTCTAATAAATTAGCTATATTTACAGATTTTTTGATTAAGTTTCAAATATGCTTTATGAGATGTATAGCTTATGTGTATATTTCAGATGGTAACAGATGCATTTTGTGAAATGTTTACTTTGATAGTAAAAGATAGAAAAGTGGGAATATTGTTGGAAGTTTGCAAATATACCGTAACCAATAAATTTTTATGGAAGTAATTATAAGGGTTGTAAAAATGCCGTTATAAGTGATAGAAATTTCCGTTCAAAATAAAAGAAATGAGAAGAGGGTGGAGAGAAGTGTTTAGGGAAGAAAATTTTATTGGTGAAGGTAGAAAGAGGTGGGACAAGAAGATGAAGTAAGTTTGGTATAAAAGATGTGACTGAAATGAATAGAAAAGTAGAAATATGTGTAGAAAATGGGACAAGAGGGAAGCAAATTTTGGTATAAAATATGGAATAGGAAGAAACAATTTTACATATGAATGCAAAAGAAAAAAAAAAAGTATAAATATTATAGATGGGATAAGAAGTAATGTTAGATATAAGAATGAAATACATCTCAATACGTAATACATGGATTTTGATTGATATGAAAGGACATTTGGTTTTATTAAATGTGTTACCATTTGTTATCTAACACATATGTAGTATGAAGAAGATTTGTGTGTTTTTTTTTTCCACCGATTTTTCAAGGTTTTTTTTTTTTCAATTTATCATTGAATTTTTAGGGCAGATTTGGCTATCAACTGACATTGTGTCAATTGTTTCATTGTATCAAGTTCTTTTCTCCTTTTTTTTCCTACAAACAAAACAAAAGAAAGACATTTTGAAGAAATGGCACATGACGGATTTGGAATGCATCGAAATAGTTCTGGTTAGTTGGAGAAATAAACTTTGAATTTAATTTAGTATTGTACGATATGATAATTATAACGATAGAAAATAATGAATGGCTTCATGTTCAAATATTTTATATATATTACTAAAAATAGCAAAACGGGTTATCGAATTTCTTTAAATGAAAGAAAAGATCATTGCGATTTTTTTGTCCGCAACATTTTCGTGGAATTTTTATTATAACATTTATTGTTATAATTCTGAAATTTATTATCATAATTTTACATATAGATAATCTGACTTTTATCTTTTTTACTGGAAATTGATTTCAATTTGATATTTTTGGAGTTGTATATATTTTCAGAATTGTTTCGTAATCAGAGATTTCTGTTTACTTCGGAGTCGGTAAGCGAAGGTCATCCGGACAAAATGTGTGATATGATATCGGATGCTGTTCTGGATGCTCATCTTGCTCAGGATCCAAATGCAAAAGTTGCTTGCGGTATCTGAGCAATCGAAATACATTTTCTTTTCTAAAAAAAAAAAAACTATTCAAACATTATTTAAAAAAAAATTACTGACTAATTTTATGCTAATTTTGAAAGGCAACCAAAAGGTTAACTATTGAACAAGAAAAAAAATAGATTATAAATTATTTACTGGCTTAAACAAGGAATGAGTTTATAGTAATTTTTCAAGTGGCATTTTTCTTTGTTTATTACAGTTATTATTTCAGATCGGTTTTGCAAACTCACTTCGCACATTAAATTAATTTCCTCAAAACAGCTAAAACTAACGTCCGTTTAAAGTTGTTACTTTCTTACAGAAACGGTAGCCAAAACGGACATGTTAATGCTGTGTGGGGAAATTACATCTAGTGCAAATGTTGATTATTATCAGATCGTTAGGGATACAGTACAACAGATAGGATTCGACGATTCCTCCAAGGGTCTATTATTAGAAAATTTATAGGGGATTTGGTATAGTTTTCATCAACATGTGGTTATACTGTCTTTTATTAATTCGTATAACCATTATGATGATAATCACATTATATTAAGGATAGTATTCCATTTAAAAAGATTAATTTTGAAAAATATTTTAGTCGTATGTTTTAGAATTTCTTGCCTTTATAGGTTTTGATTATAAAACATGTAATGTGATAATTGCATTAGAACAGCAAGCACCTGAAATAGCAGCTGGAGTACATCTGAATCGAAAAATGGAAGAAATTGGTGCTGGTGATCAGGTTGGTATTTTTTTCTTTTTCCTAATTTTTTTTTTTTTTTTTGAAATAAGGATTGTTCCTTTCGTTATCCAAGATAAAGCGGTAGCTGCAAGGGATACCAAATCTTAATTAGATTATCTCTTCCACAACTTGGAGCCAAGATTTAAAAGTTTGCAAAAATAAATTATGTTTTGTTAGCATTTATCATTTTCATTTTTTGCTCAAAATTATTATCGGCATAAATCACGAGTAATTAAGACATTTTGTTTACTTTCATTTCTTGTTAAATGAAAAATGAAATATGTTGAAAAATTTTTTGTTTTGGAATTCATAATGATTATTCTATACCTCAAGTTAACTTTATTGCCAATTAACAATTAATTGTAAAATGGTCTTTCATCTCCAACTTTTGATTAATTTAAATAAAATAATTTTTGGTTATTTTTTCCAGGGATTAATGTTCGGTTATGCAACGGATGAAACAGAAGAGCGCATGCCATTATCTTTGTTACTGGCTCATAAACTGCTTGCACGACTTCATGAATTGCGGAGAAATGGTACTCTTGAATGGGCTTTACCCGACTCAAAGTCTCAGGTATTTATATCATTATCAAATTCCTTTTTTTTTTAATGTAAGAAATGAAGTAAAAATAGCTGAAAATAAGTGAGAAAAAAATTCTTGAAAAATGATATAACCAAATACAGTTCGTTAGAAATAATTTGGAGGACTAAGGGTTGTATAAATAAATAATGTTCTTGTAGTTTAAACTTTTCTGAAGTGAATTTAAGGATTAATAAATTCCTGGTTCGATGACTAAGATCATTAACTTATCAACATACGATCACTAATGCTTGTTATGCTTGAGAAGAAATTATTCATATACTAATGCTTCATCTGTAATTGAAATAATTTTTTTTTTTTTAAATCTACCATATTTCAGGTAACAGTGGAGTACAAATTTGAATATGGTGCATGTATACCAGTCCGTGTTCATACAGTTGTCATATCGGCACAGCATAAACCTACAGCTTCGCTGGAAAAAATTCGAGGTGATCTAATCAAGCATGTAATAAATGTAAGCCTTTTTTTGTTACATTTAAATTGGTGAAAAATTTCCATCATTATATGAGAATGTGGATTTTAGATTTTATGTCTTTTATGAGATTATCCAAATTATAGATTGGCTAAATTTCTCGGTAATTATTTAGTAACTGTTAAATTTCAACTTTATTTGAGAAAATTTGTTGATATTAGCTACTTTTTTGCTGTGAATTATGTGAAACCAATACCTTCCAATAATGTAATTTTGTTTATTTGTTCAGTGATTTTTTTTTATTTGTCTTTAAATTTCATGGAAATTTAAATTTTCAGGAAGTGGTTCCACAACATTTCATGGATACAGCTACGAAGTTCTATTTGAATCCATGTGGTAACTTTACAGTTGGTGGACCAAGAAGTGATGCTGGTCTGACTGGTCGTAAAATAATTGTGGACACATATGGTGGTTGGGGTGCTCATGGTGGTGGCGCATTTTCTGGTAAAGATCCAAGCAAGGTATATTAGACTATTTATTGCATTAAATCCTTAATTAATTGTAAATAGTCTTTCGAAAAATTTAATGTGCATAAGTTATTTCAATATTTTTTATAATAATTCAGATATAAGTTTATCATTTTATGCTGATTTTCAAATGTTTAGGTGGATCGTTCAGCAGCTTACGGCGCTCGATGGGTCGCCAAATCGCTTGTAGATGCTGGTATTTGTAAACGATGCTTAATTCAGGTACTGTTTATTTATTGTGAAAATGAAAAAATAAGGAAGTTTTTTTTTTTTTTTTTTTTTTGAGCAATTTTAAATTCAGAATTCAACTCTTATCATTTCTGTATCAGGGGGTGGTAAAGTGGTAATAATAATTTTTCCAGGTGTCGTATGCCATTGGCATCGCTGAACCACTTTCAATAACAGTTGTCGACTATGGAACAAGTAATTTAACGGAAGATGAATTGTTAACTATAGTGAATGATAATTTTGATCTTCGACCGGGTGTCATCATTCGGTATCGTAATTAAACTTCCATCTTTCTTCTTTTTTTTTTTTAAGAGAATTTGATGTTAAGCTATAAAAGCGGATGAACTTTGCTCGATGTTTGAAATTTGATTTGTGATTTGAGCAATAATTATGGGTAGGGGAAGGAAAAGACAGTTTCATTATTCAGTAATTAATATTATACCACAATTAATTATTCCATATAATTTGGAAATAACTTATCACTACCAAAAGCATATTTTAGTGAGCTGGATTTGTTAAAGCCTATTTACAAGGAGACAGCACGTAATGGACATTTTGGTAAATCACTGTTTGCTTGGGAGAAATCGAAAAAGTTAGCAATACGACCGGAATTCATGAATAAACTACGAAGTTCGGAATTATCGAATGGAGATATAAAGCGTAATAGCTTTAATGTTGCTTAATATTAATATCTTTTCAGTCATGTCAATAATTTCAGAAGCTTAGTCTCTCCACTTTTTCTTTTTCAGGAATTTTCTTTACTTTCTATCTAAATGTGCAAGAAAATAATTTAGTATTGTGACATCTTCCTATTTTTTTTTAATTGCTGAATTAGGACCATTCACTCGACAGTTTTTTGAGAAAGGTGACGTTTTGACATAAGACATCTATTTGAAAACTATTCAGATTAATGAATTGAATTTCACTCTTGATAAAAACCATCCAAAACAAAATGATTTATATCTCTTCCACTTTTACTATAATTTATTTACAACTAACGTATTAAAAGTTTTTGTTTTGGGCATTGAAATAATTCCGAAAAATTTTTGCTGTGAAACATTGAGGAAGTTGTAGTATTATCACTCATAATATAGCATAGTGAAAACTGTTACGAAAAAAATCGTTCATAATTTAAACTTTTATCTTGTAGTCTTTGAGCAAACATTTGGAAGTTTTAATATCCATTGTTATTGGCGTCAATGTCGGTATGTGATGTTCGTTGTCATTATAGCCATGAAATGCAGAACTTTAAATAGTACTGCCCTGTTAAACATTAATGAATCTTCTATTTGATAGTGTAGAAATAAAGTGACAGTCATTAATGATATCATATTATATGCAGTCAGTTCATGGCACATTCGTAGAAGAAAATTAAATTTGAAACTTAATTCAATTATTTTATTTCCGAAGTTCTGATCTGCTCATCTTTTAGCATTTGTTTGCTTACATTAACAACATATCAGAAACTGCCAGATTGATTTGACTTTAATAACAACTCAAATATAAAGATATGATTATTAAATGAATCAGTAACATTATTATTGGTGAAGAACAGATAATATTCAATAATTACATGTACATTAATGAGGATGAAATAACTTTGGTAATAATAATAATTTCTAAATTACTCAACAAATAATGGATAAAATATTGCAAAAGAAGATCAAGAATTATTTCGAAAAAAAAAGTATTAAATGATGAAAAACTGGCAAAATTTCCCGCTTATTTCATTGCTGCTTTCTTTGCTTTCTTCGGTAACGGAGCACAATCAAGCTTACCACGTATTATTTCGGCTCGTACACCTTGAAGATCACGCCGACGTCCGCCACGTACCATCACCTGTAATCTTTTCAAAGACGAAATTTTACAATCTCAAAATAAATTTGTCCGAGCACTTATCTCACAAAAGTTGAATAAATGAGTAAAAAAACTTTAATGTGAGCAAAAAGAAGTTAATTTTCACACTGTAACGAATATTTATTAAGCACTTTTCGTATAAAAACGATTTTGTTAATTTACTTTTTGTAAATATTTCATGCAACATAATTCAAAATCAAAATAAGGTAGAATTAAAAAAGACAAAAAAATCTTCATGTATAGGAATATTGTTAATATTAAAGTAGCATTCCCATTTTCCTCAGATTTTTAAACTCCAAATTTATATCTACTTTTGTCAGTTTAATGGTCAGTGATTCAAAATTTAATAGAGTAAAATTCATCTCTACTAATGTATCATATCATGTTAAAATATCAGTAAGAATTGAACTAACTTTGAAATAGAATAATACAATGATAACATAACCATTCGTTGATTACAATATTAATTTTCCAAAAGCAAAAAAAAAAAAAATTAAAAACCTGTGAGTGTTCTTGTAAATTATGACCAACACCTGGGATATAAGCACATACTTCCTTACCATTACTTAAACGTACCAATGCACACTTACGATTTCCCGAATTTGGTTTTTTCGGATGCCTTATTAAAGCTGTAAACAACAATTATTTGACAGTTTGTTTAATTCATTTCCTTCAAATATCTTAAAAAGTTATCAATCAATTTAAATAAAACATTATATTAATAAACAATTTTGAAAAACGATAAGCATATATAAACATATAAATATTAGTAAAATAAGGGAAGCATAAATTATTATCCATTTTGAAAATGAACTAATTCATTTTAAAATCAATAAAAAAAAAAAATACTTTTTAAAACAATTCCTTTGAAATGATTGAAACCACGAATTGCTGTATGATCTCTGCTACGACTACGACGTTCAGGTGGTCCATCCATCCTGTGCATACGCTATAACAAAAAAAAAAAAAAAAAACATTTCCATAATTTGATCTTCTAAATATCAATATTTAACATATACGACTTAAAAAAAAAAAACCCCAAAAATCAAAGAAATATTTAGAATATATCGAATAGATATTAACTTATTTCTTAAAATATTTTTACATATCTTCAAAAATTCTCAATTTCATATATCTTTAAAAAAAAAAAAAAAGAAAAAACAAATATTTGAGATATTTCATTAAATATGATATATAATAACATAAGAATAACAATTTAATGATAATCATGAATTAAAACTAACTGGCAATTAATAAAAATAATAAAAAATAAATTTAAAAAAAAAAAAAAAAAAAAAACTAAATATGGAATAATTTAAATATATTACCTGTAAAATTTCCTCACGACTAAAGCATTGTGTCGTATGAATGTTAAATTTATGTATAGCATTGATATTACTGGCTAACTGACTAATGGTAGGTAGAAATTGACAGGTAATAAAACTTCTTTGTGGCCAAATCAATAATTTATTTAGCCACATGATGATTATTTATGATAGAGTAAGAAAAACACAGTTATATCCAAATCGTATTCATTAAGTATTTATAGATTTCATTCCTGAAATAAACAAATTTCAAATTTACTATAAGTACATCACCAACTGTATACTATTGTACATTACTTTCACAAATTAAGATAGAGCACTATTAAATGTTAATGCTATCATTTAAAACTCAAAATTTGATTGTTAATGAAATTCCTCAGAAATTGCTGAAAGCATTGCAATATTTTAGGAAAAGCAAATAATAATTACGAAATGTTGTAAAACATTTCCAATAAATATTTGAGATATTTCAATAAAGATAAAAATAAATGTGTATATCAACATGAGTGAAGAAAGATTACACTCAAATTAGTACAATTGCTTTAATAAATTGAAGTACAATTTATTTTAATACATAATAAATCGCTAATAAATATTCCTCTATCAATTTTGAAGAATTTCCACCTAAAATAAAGAGATGAAGACAAATATATACAAGGAATGAACAGTTTATCAATCAATACATATGTAAGTTTTAATATTAACAAGTAAAACTAAAATGATATCAATATTTACTCAGGTAGTAATAAATAATCCCATATAAATAAATGACACATGCAATTTTAATAATAAATATAACAGTTTTAATAATATTATCTATAAATACTATCAAAAAGTATCTCAACTTATTATTTAGTACTATCCTAGACACTTCTAAACTATTCGTTCAGAATTAAAAAAGAATACAAAAAGAAGACAAATACTTCAATTCTTACAAACTGTTATCAAATAAACCCTTGATGAATTCATTCTTATCAATTCTTTAGTTTCAAACAAATAATCCAATAGTCTAATTGATAAAGCAACAATTCATATAATCATAATCTTTATAAGATATATCATTGCTTTTTGTTACAAATGGTTTTTTAAGAGATACTATAAAAATAATATTTAAGATATTTACCACCACCTGCAATAGTAATCAAATCTTTACAGTTTGCTTCTAAAGAGTCTTTGCACATTTTATAGAAGTTAGTTCACCATCCTTACTGGATACATGACTTATGAGTCGACCACCTCCCTTTATAGTTTGAGCTTTAATTATACGATATAAATTAATAAAAAGTATAAAAAATGTCAGAAGTATATTATAAAGAATAAAGAATAAAAAGGATGAGATTAAAATTGTACAGAAATTTTTAGAATGTAAGGATTTTCTTTTTAAATAATACCAAAAAAATAAAAATATATACTGAATTATTATATCAAATACCAAAGAATAAATATCTGTAAATTATAATAAAATATAGCGGAAAAGTAAAAGTAATGGGGCCAATATTTCACTTTAAAATTTCTCCACAACAAATATAATGTTAAAAAATTAGAGGCCGTTGCTTATAATTCAAACCAAAATTGATGTTATAGTTAAATGAGCATTAGAAGTGAGGCTCAAGGATACAGATAGAGGTAAATAAATAAAAAGTGAACAAATAATCGCTAATCTAATATTGCATTGAGACAGCTAATTAATAAAATGTTAGACATGAAAAAATATAATCACAAAGAATAAGGCTGCAAAAATATATTCAAAAATTAAGATATAAACATGCGCGTTTTAAAATATAAAATAATTTTAAATCCTAACATATCAGGAAAAAACTTGCAACTATTCATACGACTGATATGATCAGCGTAAATGATAAACAAAAAGGAATAGTAAATACATTATTAAATTCAAAAATAAAAAGTATACCGATTTGTCTTCTATTTCTCACGGCCAAAATACGGTTTCCTAAACTGTAACAATTTATCATGATTATGCTGATAATGTTACCAAAGCAATAAAATAGAAACTTGATGGATCTTATGGAAAATACTATTTATCAATTAATTAAATAAACTATTAAATAAAACGATGAGGTATTTCTATCAAAGGTAACTGTTTTAAGTCCATTCTTGCAGTTGCATTATTAGTGTTGTCAGAACTTTTTCCGATAGCAGAGAATCGATGAAACGTTTTTGAAACGTGGTAATACTTGATGATGAAGTAGTCAAATTGGTACAATACATCGGATCAACTGATGAATCTACAATTTTCAAAGGCCCTTTTTCTATTTCAGCACGGAAATCAGCGAACAAAACAGTGGGTAAAACTGTCATATTTTTCTTCTGCTTTTCTATAAAATCCATCAAACGATGTAAACTTCCATCAGTTGTCATCTGAAATGACCAAATTTGTATATAATTGAGAATACTGTCATATGACAGTGTCAACAATCCATTTCAGGACTTAACTGTGTTCTATGGCTTTCACACAATTGTCAAACTTTTTAAAGCTCACAATTTTAACAATGTTACATTGGTAAGTTAAATAGAACTGATAAGAGGGGAGTTATTTTGAAAAAAACAAATAAATAAAACAGTCTTAATCTTCAACTTACTGATACAATACTCATTCGAAGAAAAGATATATTAACCTCATTTTTTGCTTCGTTCAATAATTTCTCAAAATCACACAATGCATCATCATAGCATGTCATTGATTCTGACAAACAAATTTGCTTCGAAGTTATTAAACCGGACCGAATAAGAATAGCTACCTAAATATTCACAAATATATACATATATATATAAGTAATACAAAAATTCATTTCGTAACTGTAAATTAAAAATGTCAAATTCTACAAATTTTAATTAGTATTTAAAGAAAGATAATAAAATTACCATAGTAGATGCAGCAGCTTCTTGTAAACGAGAAATTCGGTCGTAGTCAACGAGTGATATCCATGTATTTACCGAAACACTGATATTATTCAAATCATTTTCATTATTATTAACACTAACGCATTGAACACAATGCCACCATCCAGGAGGGACAAATATCACATCACCCTTTCTTAAGGTAACCATTCTTATCTTTTTACCTTGCAATGAATTATCAGCACCAACCACATCCAAACTACTGAAATGATATTATCACTGTAGGCCATCGATGAATTAATATAGTTTTTATTCATTTCAATCCAAAATAAAGTTTCTAACATATTTCATTTAGACTGATTTTTTATATGTTATCAAGATGAAAATAAGAAAGAAAATTGGAAACGAAGAATTACAAACCTGAAAACAGTTGATTCTTCGTATGGAATTCGAATCGGCTTCATATTTTCGTTTGGCTCAAACAGAATCCATCGTTTTGATCCAGAAAGTTGCGCATGCACATTATAACCATATGAATCATAATGACACGGTGTATATGCTCCTGGTGTTCCTAAAATATAAAATTTCACATCTAATCCATAATCTCTATTTGTATAAATAAACTAAGAAATATTCAAACTAATTAAAATTATAATAAGATTGATTAAGTAATTAAATTTTAAATCATAATCATTCTTAATGTCAATAATCTATTGAAGATTCTTAGTTGTTCCATATTAACGAAAACAAAGTGATAAACCTGTAATCAGTGCAATTTATTTAAATTAATTAAACACAAAAGTATACCAATCCAAATGGTTGAATCAACGGGATCAGCATCCAAACCAAGATGTCGCCAATCGATATCAGCAATGTTTTCGGGATTCATAATATCAAAGACATAATTATAATCGAAATATCCCCAATGATTTCCTCTATCTATTATCCTCTGATCATTTGCCATCATTGTCGCTTCACCACTGAACCATTTAAAGAAGTGTTCCAAACTGGAGATGTATGCCATTTTTGATTCATTTTCGAATATAATCTGCATTAATAGGATTACCCTACTTACTGTTTCTTTAAAATTCCTCACTTTTTTTAAAACTTCTGTCATACGTTGCGTCTTTACTGCTATTGTTCTAACCATACTAATTTAACCAATCAATCTTACTTAGTTTATATGAATACCAAAAATGAGCTTCTATTTTCAGCACTAAACATAATATCTTAAACATACTATTACTGAAATCATCAAGTACGCAACAGATATGTTAATTTCAATTGATAAGTATCTAGATAATTTATCACTACCACATCTAAAATAGAATAAAACAATCTAAAAAAAAACCAACTTTTCCTCTTAAGTGCTCCTTCGGTCCTAATCGTATTCTCAAAGATCCGTTATTTTCGGTAGGTTTTACAATTTCCGCCAATCGTTGATATGTCCATCCCATAGCCTTCCAATCATTAATACATTCAGATATTACAAATGGTTCTAAGTATTCAATTTTTGAGCGCACAGCAGCATATAATTCCATCAGTAATCTAAAATTTATATCAATAAATTCCTTCTTTCTTTTTTTAATAAAGAAACAATGAATTTCATGATGTAATGCTGAGAGAATTTATAAACAATTTCCTTAATTAATGCAAATTAATAGCACATAAAAAATTTTTAACTAAAAAAATTAAGTATAACCATTAGCATAAAGCAAACAATGTAAAAGGTGACAACAACGCAACATTGTATTTTTTTATCGGTCAATCATAAAATCAAAAATGAAGTAACAAACGCTCCCGAAAAAGATGAAGTTAATATGTGACGTAAAAATCATATGAAATATCCCAGAAATTGAGTCCTACAAAACTGAATTATGCAGTCACCAAGATACCAGGCTATTTTTAAATGAATAATTCCCACCTATTCGCTTGCAAAATGCTCAGTAATAATAAATTTTAAGTAGACAAATATTACTTCGTCTTAATTTTCATGGTTCGTACAATGGCTGTCTTTTATGGAACATTAAACATTATTCCAAAATTTTTACACTTATACCAAAACTTTCAAAAAATCCCTTGCTCACTTCAACATTTGAGTCTGAAGAAACAAACATTTAATAAATTACACCCGTTATTCGATGCATAAGTTGAAACGAAGCTACTACTCGAAAAATAAAAAAAGTTTACTGAATTATACCGTAAGTTCAAGATGTTTCAAGTTTTTTTTTCGCATTTTTTAAACTACACTTTATTTTTTATTTTACATTTTTTTAAATAATGCATGTGTTTATGTTACATTTTCTTTAGTAATACATTTGTTCGAGAAAAACAACGTGTTGCAAAGAAGCAATACTAATCCAACTTTATTACATTTCTACGCTAGAATAATCAAAATACATTATGAATTGGTGAACCATAGAGAATGCATAGGTAGACAAACTCAAAAAGAATATAATCGTCAAAAAGAATCTATGACGACGATGATTCGGATGGAATCGATTCAAGTCCTTGGACTTTGTACATGTTGCCTGTTAAGTTCCAATCTCGTTTGTTCTGGAAAATCCTTAAAAAAAAAAAAAAGTTTATCCGCTAATTATTATTCGCTATCCTGATAACTTATTCTCTAATTATTAATAATAAACGCTAACAACCACCTTACGCAACACTCTACCAAATCTCGAAATATGCCGAATGATCATGAAAATAAAACTTCATAAAAATCTTGCCTTCTTATAAACACATTGAGAACGGAAAAAAATAGACAACATATAATAAGGTTTTTTAGAAAAAAGAAACAGAAAACATTAATTGTCGCTCAAATTTCACGAATCATAAATTGAAAGGAGCAAAATATTTATACGTTGCACAAGTTAAAAGATTCAATGTTCATTTTGATACATAAATTAATAAAAAATCTAGTGAAAATTTCCATAGCACAGTGTCATGAGTGAAGCTTGAACGAATCTCAAATACGACTATCTTCACTATTTCACTACTTTATCTATGTATGAGTGTTTCCTAATATGCCCATATTACATGTAGCAACCCACTGCAATGATACTACTTAAAGAAAGAAAACCACAATATCAAAACTACAGCATTACCTTCCTAGTATTAGTCGTTAATTAGACTGTTTTCTTTTCCAGTTTCTTACAATTTACTATAGATGAGTATGCATTATTCAATAAGCCAGTATAAAAATGACTTCATTCTTTCTTCCTTACTTCCACATATTCTTAGCTACAAAGTTGAGAAATTAATTATATGTATGCAATGGTAGCAGTAGAAATATTTCTCGAAAAAAAGGTCAAAATACATACATGTAACCATGCATATTTCGACGATGTACATGACCTGTCTCGATCAAATTGACCGGTAACATAATATGCATTGTTATTACTACACATGCAACTGTTATTACACTCGAATAAATTTGCTCATACCACATTGGCTTTGTACTGAAATATTCCTTATTAATAAAACGAGTAATTCTTGAAAATTCTTAAAATATTCCACATTAAATCACACTCAATTATTTCATGAGTTTCCACTTTACAAATAAAATAATCTTGTCGCATTTGCACAACCAATTTCGCAATACTTATAATGACAATAATCGATGTTACTATTACAATCAGAAGCAACTTATTTATTATTCAAGAATAAAGTTCAAAATTTTACTTAGCACAACCTACTTGAACATGAAGACTACAATTTGAACATATTCAGGCTAATATCCTTAGCTGAGTACATTGAAATGCCATAAGAGAAAAGATTCCCATCTAGCTATGACCTTCTCATATTGCAACAATCCATTTAAATAAAAGTTTAGCTTGATCTTACCTTCACATATTATCTTCATCTAATAAAAAAGAAAGTAAGTTAGCATAACTAGTCCAAATAAATATAATTAATTTAATATGAAAGAGAACTATACCAAACTAAACTACCCTAAGACCGCGACACCACGGGGGACAGTAAACGCAACCTCGGACACCCCATACACCGGGCAGAATAGCAAATAACATTTAATTGGTGCAATTTGCTATACATTGTGATATAAGCTCATGGGCATCGCAATGCAAATCCATTATACCATTAACTTTATATGCTATGAGATAGTATAGATTAGATTATTCATTGAAGATCTTTTACGAATAAATTTGGTAGTTTTAGATACGTTATATGCAGAAATTCACATTAATTGAAGTCGGTTTTTTTTTTCTTTAATTAACTTTGAAGAACTTGAAAATTTAATTTATTTTCATTTAAATTAGTATTCAAAATATAATACATAAATAGAAGAATAATAGTACATTGTATTTAATGTTATATTTAGTAATGTGTTACTGCTAGAAACTGGAAAATGTATCAGAAAAAATATTATTTTAATTCAATGTAAAATATATTAAAACAAGAAGGTAAGAAGTAATAATGTCTCAATTTCTTTTATAAAAAAAATAAAAAAATCATCATTTACTATAATGTTTAGCCAAGTTTTGCAGTTGAAAAAAAAAAAAGTACTTAAACTTTTTAATTTAATTTAAACTTTTAATTTAATACAACATTATGCTGAAGGAAGAGATAAGAAAGGAATGATTGAATTTCTTTTATATTTTCCTATTTAAGTCTTCAGCGAGTTAAAGTTAATTTTTATTTTTTTTTCTTAGACATATAATATATTAGATTTTATATTAAGTTAACTTATGATATACTAAGAAGGATTTGAAAAAAAAAGCACCTGTTATCAACAAACTCATTAACTTTAAATTAAATTTTTTTTTTTTGTTTCGAAAACCGTAGGCTTAAAAAAAATTTTTTTTTTCGGAAATAATTAAGTCTTTGTAAATATCAAATTGAAATTGTTGTTTGATGAGATTTTTTCTTTTACATGCATATGTTGGCATTCATTTTGTAATAAAAGCAAAGAGTATTTGTTGTAAAAATTTTCCAATAGTTTACGAAATTTTTTAAATCTAATTTATATTCCATTTATTGTCGTGTCAATAATTTGATACGATAATTTATTTTGAAAAATTTCGAATCATTAATAGAATAATGCAACTTATTCAATTAAATGCTCTACGTGATTAATTTATAATTGCTAAGATAATTAACTTTACTTATTAAAAAGTAATCAAAAATTTTTTATATTTTAGATTAAAAAATTTTTTAGATCAAAAAAAAAAAAGTTTCAATTAAAAAAAATTGTTTTTATAAAAAAAGAAAATTGACAAAGAAAAAAATAAATCTTTTGGTCAATTTTTGAACTTTTGAAAATCTGACCATCAAATTTTATTTAAAATTTTTAACTTTTATCATCCATCCAAACAAACTAATCTTGCATTTTGATAGAATAACTCAAAAAGTATTTATTTATGAAGAAAACCGAACAATCTGAATTCTGCAATTTATTTCTCAAATTTTTCAAAAAACTTTTTTTTTCGAAATTTTCTTTCATTTTTTTTTTTTTTTTTTTTTGTTGACTAATAATATTACTTTTTCAGTGAAATGAGAGAAATGAATTTCATAAAATAAGTTTGATTTTTTAAAATTTTAAATGATAATATTTTTTATTTTATCTCAGTATCATTTTATTTTCCTAGCTTTTATTCTTCTCATCTATTTTCGTCTTAATATTTGATAGGAAATCTTCGTCTGTATTTAAAAATTTGACATGACAGCTTTTTGAAAATCTCAGCATCTTTTTTTTTAAGTCTTACACTTTATGAGTAAAAAAAAAGAAAAACGAAAAACGATGGCATAGTTTTTTTTCATTTTTTTCGATTAGCATTTGCGCTTTTCCGTTTTTCGTCTTTCCTTAAATTTCTTTTCTTAGGATGACTCTTATATGTTTATTCAAACTTATTTTCAAGTTTTCAAATGTGAATTAAAATTAAATGAAGCAAAATCTTCTATTCGTTTTAATTTTTGATATTTTTTTTTTTTTTGTATTATTCATTGCTGTATTATTATTAACTAATTTTGCTACGTACAATACTTCCTGTGTTTCATATTTAATCAAGACATATTATAATAATTATCTGATAAATTAATTAGCTAGCAAATGCTCAGCATAATCGAATAATAGACAAGAAAATGTCACATATGCTTGATAATTCTATGATCAATAAAAAATTATTATCTTCATTAACCAAATTAAATCAAAAAGCCAAAGTTCCTATACAAGCATTTATACGCAAATGTACGTGGACACACTCTTCTACACCCCCGCACGCATACGCACTTATAAAATTAATTACGTGCGTCACATGACTTCCACTGCATCATTAAGTAAGTATTGATTATGCATTTACCTGCTTTCATACATTTTCATTTCATCGCTATTAGCTTTAAATAATGTAATAAATGCATCTTAGTATGTTTATTCGAGAATTTGCCCTTATATTCAATTTAACAATCCATATATTTTAATTTATTTCCATCCAATTTTCTTATTGCAATATTCGCTTCCTACGGTAACGTTTTGAGTATTACCGTAATATATACCGCTACAGTAACATTTTTTCATGTTATTATAAATTTTTGCTAGCTGTGTTTATCTATTATAAAATTGTTCCACCTTTAGAGCGGCGCTCAGTGTATTATGGTAGTATTCTCCTACTGTAGTAATACTTTTATGTGTAACACTTGCTTACTACAGCTAAAATTATACTGTAATACTGTAATACCAGTACAATAAATTTCTGTTGTTGTTACTTTTTTAGGGAATATTTTTTTTATTTAGAATGTTTGTTTACTACGGTAAAATTTAATACATTATCGAAGCATTATCGAAGGTAAAATTTAATAGATTATCGAAGGTAAAATTTAATACATTGTTCTAGTACAGTAATATTTTACATATTTCTGTAATAACTTGAGATTATTATTGAATTTATCCTTTGATCTTTTGATATATTCAGCTATTGCATAATTTTCTAAACTTTAACATTTATTGCAACTTAGAAATGTTTTATTGCAATTATTTATAGCTAGAAAATATCTTTATTTACCCATTACTTACATCCATCATTACTTCTATTTATAATTATACATTACATTCTTAACAAGTTATATGTGCATATAAATGTGCTAGGCCTAACTTTATCTATTATATATGTATATTTCTACTTATCCCTCCATTATTTTCTCTCGAGAAAAAAAAAAAGAATTTACTATTAGCTAAGTTTCAACTGCAATAAATATTAATCATATTGTCATCATCATATCAAAATAAACTTTGAATATTAGCAAAGAAAAATTTATAAATGAAGAAGCTCGAGGAAATACTATCATTCATAACGTACAGATAATCTCTGTGAAGAGTCTAATAGTTAATTTTTTTTAAATTATTTTTTAAGTCAAAATAAAGTGGAAGAACAATTAATGTCCTACTAAATATGCAGCAAATCTTTTTTTGGTTATTATTTCATCTAATGAATTATTATGATTAGAAATGGAAAGAGAAAGAAATGCAAATGTCTTACAAGAATTTGGATAAAAATTTGAAAATAATAATATTTCATAAAAAATTGTTTTAGATGATATGAAATGGAAAACAATTGATTTTACTATTTGATGACATTTCAATTAGTTTATTTCTGGAATAATTTGTGTATGTGTATGTTACATGCATTAAGCATTGCATAACATACATACTCGAATAATTCATTTTCAAAATTTTATTATTTCATATTTAAATCTATTCTGTTATCTATTTCTGTTTACTTACAAATAATTTTATAATTCATAAGAATGGTAAAATTATTTATAGCAAAAGGAAAAAGTAACATTTGAAAAAAGCCGAAAGTTGGAATTTTTTTAAAATATTTGTGAAGAAGTTAACAATTTTTCACAAATATTTTATGAAAAAAGCTGAAAAAAAATTCTCATATTTAATAAATTTTTTGAAATATTTTACAAGAAAAAATGAAATATTTTTAAAATTTAATTTGTTATAAATTATTTTTAGTTTTTTTTTTTTTTTTTTTTCTTTAATTTAAATATATTTTGGTTTATAAAATTAACATTGCATTAAATAGCTTATTCCTTGATGGATACCTTAGAATCCACACACATTTCAATAACATTCAATGATGCTATATATGTATATATGTATGTATGCATGTGTGTGTAGGTGTATGTATGTGTGTGTGTGTGTATGTGTGTGTGTGTGTATGTGTGTGTGTGTGTATGTGTGTGTGTGTATGTGTGTGTGTGTGTATGTGTGTGTGTGTGTATGTGTGTGTGAGATTATTGAGCCTAGCAAAAGACTCACTTGTCCCAAAGGTCTTCCTCATGGGAAGGAATCAATAGCTGTGCAAATGCGCATTTGTCAGTTGGATATAAATGATATGTTAAAGTGCCTAACTCTTCTCGCCTAAGCATTTTTCATTTCAAAATGAGAAAAGTTAGCCATTATTTATTATCTTAGCATTTCCTTACTATATGTTATTTACGAATAACTATTTTATCACAAACATTTTCAATTTTATTATAATTTAATTTTTCTTAAAATTTCACATTTCAATTTTTTGTACTTCATTTGCTATTAGAAATAATAAATATTTTGTTTGTAAATTTAAATTAATGGAAAAGCTCAAAATAAATTCACATTTGAAATGTTAGTATTAATAAAAGATATGATATAATGTTATATTATTTCATTTATATGACATCATTTTATTTGTCATTTATTAGATCTTTTTTTTATTTTTATTTTGCTATAATTTTTTTGATCTTTGCTTTCTTTTGTGCATTTTCTTCATTTGTTTTTTTGAAATTGATTAAAATGAAAAATTATTGTCGTCTTTTTTTGCATTATTCCGTTGTAATTAATTTTAACAAAAATGAATATTTAAGTTAATTTTTTGAAATGTTTAACTTTTCAAATGCAATATTTGGATCATATTTTTAGCACTTAATGTCTTATAAAAAGATTAAGTGCTAAATGTATATATATTATTTGTCGTATAATAGCAAAATTTTGTTCAAAAATTTGAAGTAATCATTAAATGAAAAGAAATTTCAAATATAAAATGCGAAATTTAAAATTATAACAAATACAATAGAATTATATAATCAGCAAAAGAAGAGAGAAAAAATTAGATCAAAAATAATATGAATATTTTGATGTAAAAAACAATTAATTATTATTTAAATTTTTATGCAATTGTTGCACATTTCTTAAATGAACCATAATTTAATTAGATATAATACTAATTAGAGTCACATCAGTGTTATTATTGGAATGAAAATTTTAATTTACTATATTTTAATTTTTAAATGAAAATATTTCATACAATAATCAACGATGCTTCACTTCAATTAATCGTTGCTCTTTTTTTTTTTCGCCTAAATTTTTTAGCCTTAGAATAGCAAATAATTGATAATTGTTGTAGGCCCACAAATTGACGTTGGCTGAAGTCAATAAAAGCAGCCAGCAATGACCATATTTGGTCATGGGTCAACCTCCAAAAAGGATAATACAATTGATAATGGTAACTTTATAAATTAACAATTTTTCCTCCCTTTTTTTTTTTTTTTTTAAAAAAAATTATTTTATAAAAATGATTGAAAAATAAAATGAAAATTCATGAATAATTTTTAAAAATGATAAGAAAATATTATGCAGTTAATAATAATAATAAATTAAATTACCTTTAATAAATTGTTCGGAAATCTTTTCTTTTTTTTTTTTAGAAAAATGATTTGAAAAAAAAAAAAAACAACAATTTTGAATGATTAAAATTATTTTAATAAAATTGTATTTTAGGCAATTCAAAGCCTACAGCACTACTCGACGGGGTGACAACACCAGCACCAGGTTTTGGAATTCGTTCATACCTTCATCAATTTTATCAATCACCAGCTGTTGAGGACATCGAATCTGCTGGAGCCTGGTATATGTAATCCAGTCGTTCAACATTTTTATAGAACAAATAATCACTTATTGTAGTAGCAATAGCTTCAACATTTATATAAAATCAATAACTAGTTATTGTTCTAGTATTAGCTTGAACATTTATATAGAACCAACAACTAGCTATTGTCATAGTAATAGCTTCAACATTTATATAAAATAAATGACCAGTTATTGTCATAGTATTAGCTTGAACATTTATATAGAACCAACAACTAGCTATTGTCATAGTAATAGCTTCAACATTTATATAAAATAAATGACCAGTTATTGTCATAGTATTAGCTTGAACATTTATATAAAACCATCAAATTCATCCTGCAATAAACATAATAAGTAAAATTTTATTATAATAAATAAAAACTGTCCTTTTTTTTTGCTAACAATTATTGTTAGAATTAATAGATCAAATTTTTACATTCAATTAATAAAAATTTCAAAAATAAATTTATAACTTTAAAAAAAAAACCAAAAATTAATGATAAAAAAATTATTAGACAACATAATCGTTCAATTATTTATTTATTCATTATATATGAAATTATATTAGTTATTAGGAATTAATTGTATGATAGAAGGAAAAATTTCTAAGCTTTGATTTTTTATAAAATAAAACTTTTTTTTTTCTTTTAAATAATTTTTAATTTTAAAAGTTCAAATTGTATAAATGTGAAAATATTGGCTAATATATTTTTCATAAAAGAATGAAATGAATATTTTTTAGACAAATGTAATTTAACTTTAAACTAAATTATTACTTGAGTATCAAAGTTTGTAAAAAAAATATACAAATAAAAAAAAAAAAAAACGGAAAAATGATTTTCCACTAAGATTTATTAGAAAAATATAGTAATATTCTTTTAAACTTTGAAGAATAATGTGGCAATTTTTAGATATTAATTCCTATTTTGTTTGAATGTATAAAAATGATTCATTAAAAAAAAAGAAAAAGTCAAATTATTATTAGGAGTGAAATATTAAAAATAAAAGTAAATTTTTGAGAAAGTTTAATTAATTCTTTTTAAAAAAAAAAAAAAAAAAAATTAATTTAAGGTATCTTTTACCACCGCCACCAGCACAACGAACAGGACTTTGGCTCTGTCGTATGCTAACCGTTCTTGGCTTAATTCTATTAATTGGTGGAGCAGTTGCTATTATTGTTGGATACACTTGGCCTCATGAAGGAGTTGAAGAATCGATTGCTCGAATTGCTATCTATCAAGTAACAAAATTTTTTTTCTAAATAATTCAACAAAAAATTTTTTTTTATCTCAAAAAAAATTTTGAATTTATTCTAAAGTATGAATATGGAAAAAATTTTAATTATAAATGGCCAATAGTTTTACAAAAAAAGAAAATGTTTACATTTCATTTAATATTAAAATTTCATTTATTTATTCTCATCATTTATATTAATGAAATATTATCATTCATTGATGTTAAAACCAACTGAATGATAGATTATGCAATTTGACAATGATAAACTGATAACGCCCTCATCATCTTATCACTTTGTAGTGTAATGAAGATAATGAAGTAATAATAGTATCATTTGATAATGATATTGTAATTTGAATAGTTAAAACATTGTTTAACAGTCGCAGTATCATAACAGACTGATAATATCGTTTGTTAATGATAATGTAACTGGACAGTTTTATAATGATATCTGATAACTGCTTAACATATCAGCTATTTATGAATATTGTTATCTGATGGTAGTAACACCATTCGATAAATATAGCATAATTTAATGATAATTATATTATCTTATAATAGTGTCACCCAAGGATGATAGTGTCACCTGAGAATAATAATGTCACCTAAGGATGATAGTGTAGCCTAACAATGATAGTGTCACCTAACAGTGATAGTGTCACCTAAAAATGTTAGTGTCACCTAAGAATAATAATGTCACCAAAGGATGATAGTGTCACCTTTACATAATAAGAGCACTTGGTTACGATTGTTTTTAACTTTCACCTGAAAATGATTAATTGTTACGAATAACCTAATTACCTAATTTTTGGCTTTTTCAGTATAATATAATTATTTTAATTTTTTCATCATTCTTTTCAAATAATAATTTATAATTTTTTGTCATTTAATAATTGTTTATGAATTTTTTTTTTTTTTGAAAATTTAAAGGATGAAGATGGAAGCTTTTATGTTCCACCGGAAAAACTTGCCGAAATATTAAAAGATCCAATGCGTCGTTGGAAGATGTTTGGTATGATATTTTAAAAATAAATGAAAAATCCGTTTCCTTTTTCTGACAAACTAAATTTTAACTTTAATGAAAAAAAATTTTTTTTAAAAAATAGAAAAATATCGTTGCTTTTATAAATAAAAATTATTTTATGTATTACATTTTATTCTAATTTTTAATGAAATATTTAGACTAAAACTAAAAAAAAATCCATTTCAATAAATTCAAAATTACATTTAAAATTGAGAAAATAGTGAAAAATGAATAAATATATAGTTTTAAAAGCGTAATAAATTCATTAATTAAATTTAAAACATATTACTATATGAATAATTTACACAAAAATAACAAATATGTATTGTTCATTTATTGAAATGTTTAAAAATTGATTATAGTTAAATCTAATTTCTTTATTCATTCTTTAAATATTTAAGGAAAATTTAATTAAAATTCATTTTTTATTATTTTCATAACAAATTAGAGTAAAATTTAAAATGTTCTGGAAATAATGCATGTCACTTTCAGGCTCTTCTTGAAATAACACTTTAATATAAAATTAAAATTAATTTAATTTATCTGTGCTTTGTTGCTTTCATAAAGTAACACTGATTTAACTAACTTTCAAATTTCAGTGGGAAAAAATTTTCAATTCTAATAAGAGAAGTTGTCACTTTTTTTTCTTACTTTTAGTTTAATTTTAGTAATCTGATTTAAATAACATTTCAAATGTTAATATCAAAATTTTAATTTTACCAAAAAAATTTTATTTCAGTTTAAAAGTTTCATTTCACCAAAAAATAAACATAAAATAATTAAGAATATGTATACTTAAAAAAAGAAAAAAAATTTTCTTAATTAAATTTCAGGTTTATGTACGTTTGCTACCGGTGCTGTAATGCTTGCATTAAGTTTGCTAACACCAACATTGGTAGGTTCATTCAAGAGTAAACATTTAGCAGCATTTATGAGTGAAGATAGCACACCAAATGAGCCACCGATTCGTCTTTATCCGGCAAATTCCGGTAAAAATGAAATGAATCGTCAAATAAACAATAATATCAATGATAAACGTGAAAAAATCACATCTGATTCGTATGTTTCTTATAAAATTTTTTTTTTTTTTCTGCGAATAATTTTACATTTTTTTATTGAAAAATTTCCATGGAAATTTTTAAAATTTGATTTTCATGAATTTTCATGGAAATTTTAAAAAAAAAAATTTTTTTTTAATTTTTTTGTTTGGAAATTTATCACAAATCTTTCATTCCTTTTTTCATTCAAAATTTTATTCGAATTTATTTTTATTAGCAAATAATATTTCATAATGCTATATGTTCTTCAAAGTTTATAAAACTATTAAAACAATGAATAAAATTTATAGGAAATTAAAAAAAGAAGAATGAAAACTATTATTAAAGTATAAAAATAAGCAAACATTTCTATTAAAAAGTTTGAAATGAATGTAAATATATTAAATAATACTTTTGCTAAAATTATTTCTTAGTTTCAAAAAAAAAAAAAATTTCTTTTTTTAAATTAAATTTTAATCCTTCGATTAAATTTCACAAATTGCAGTGGTCCAGTACCAGTACTAAAAGAAATTACAAAAGTACAACCTGGTGAAGGTAAAATTGGCTGCAATGGAAATGGTAACAACGATGACAATCATTCAAAACAAATTGTCACCGATGATCTATTATTGGGTGATGATGTCACACAACAACAATAATTACTTTTCTTTTTTTCTCTTCTTGTAAACTATACGAGATTTCGTGAAAGAAAGTAAACATATGAAAAGTTATTATTATTATTTTCATCAGAAGTTGTAATCATAGTATCTTATACATATATATGATTATTTTATGATTGCATAAACACTTCTGTATGCGAAATAAATTTTTCCAATTTTCGTTTTATTTTTACTGCATCTGGAAAAATTGTTTATTACTCAGAAAATAAATGATAAATTAATAATACTACCACTACTAATAATAATAATAATGATAACCATAATAATAATAATGATAATTAATAATGGTAATAATAATAGTAATGATAATGATAATAATGATAATAATAATAATAATAATAATAATGATAATAATATTAATAATGGTAATAATAATAATAATAATAAATAAATAAATACTAAATAATAATGATAGTAGCAATAAATAATATTAATAACAATAATAAATAATAATAATATAAACATAGAAAATAAAGAATTTAGGAAAATAAAATATTTTTTACTATTGCTACAAAAAAGTGAAAATCATTGTTATATCTTTAAATTGCAAATTCGAAATTACAATCTTTTTTATTTCATTAATTTAATAAATTAACATCTAAAAAAAAGCAACGAAAGATTGTTGCGAATCATTATTAAAATTCATGAAACATATGGATTATTCTTAAACATTTTCATTGTTTTCTTTTTTTCAAAATAATAAATTATTTATTTCGAATTTTGTAATTTAATAATGATTAAATTTATTAGATTGCAGTTGAATGTTGAGCTAAAAAAAAAAGTTTAAAAATTTAAAAAGAAGAAAAGTTAACCATCAGTTAATGACCATTCATAATAAAAATTTATTTATGGCTGTGTGAAAGTTTGAAATAAAAAGAGACAAGAAGCTAAAACACAAAAAAACAGGACAATTTTGATAAAATTAAATAGCAAAAAGTGATGAGAAAAATTTTTGAAATAATCATACACGAAATGTTATCCGTTATCAATTAAATTAAAATAGTACTGCAAATATAAATAAAATTTAATTATGATATTCCTTTTTTAAATGTGATTTAATATCCATCGAATAAACAAAAACATATTTCATATTTCAGAATTAAAATTATTCACTAATTTTCAAAATTATCACTTTTTAATCATTTTAATTAATGAACTAATATTTCCTTTATAATGTCAAGTTATTGATTAATAAGCAAGGAATTACATTAAAAACATTTTTACAAAATACTTTAATCATAAAATGCTAAATAAATTACGATTATATATTAATTATCTCACTGTATCTGCTGCAAAGACAGAAATTAATCAAAACGTTCATTAATTAAAATCCATCAATTTCATTAAAATTCAATTCATTAATTGCTGATTAAAGAAATTCACGAACGAATGAAGAACTGCGTTTGCATATTTGTATCAGTTGCTCATAAATTGCATATTATCAATCAAATTATAAGTTTTTAAATCAATTTTAAAATGAAAAATTTTAATTATGATATTTCCTACATCCCACATCATCAGTTTTCATCAGCATATTAAATTGTTAAATTAAGAATAGAAAAAAAAAAAGAATTCAAACTCAAATATTCCATATAGAGTTATTAGGTAATATAAATATATTATTTACCACTAAATAAGGAAAAAGTAATCATTAAAATAAAAACCACATAATTAAATTTAAATTTTACAACTATAATTTCCAATTTTACTGCATAGCTTGGCTTCATATTAAGATCTGTAACAGAAAAGAAATAAGTGAAAATATTTATCAAATAGAATAAGTGATAATGATAACGACAATAATAATAATAATAGTAATGGTCAAAACGACAGTAATCATTCATCACAATAAACATCAAATATTCGAGAAAAAAAATTTAAGCAAAGAAAGACATTTTTTTTAAATTAAAAAAAGAAAAAAAAAAAAAATGGAAGAGCATATGTTTAACAACCGTATTGAACTTTGTAAAAGTGATTTTGCATTATATATGAAATTTTACTTTTTAAAAATTTGTCAAAAAAAAAAAATTACTTTAATTTTGCATAAAATGTGTACTTTTTTCTTGTGATATATGATCAATGGAAATAAAAACATTAGAAATTTCACAAAAATTCTTTTCATATTTATGGATTTTTTTTTTCCAATTAAACCAAAAATATTAAACGGGTAAAAAATACATATACCCGAGGAAAAAAAAAAAAGGAAGAAAATATTCTGAGCACATTAAGTATTTAGAAATAATTAATTAATTAAAAATTAAACAAATGAACAAACATGCGGTCAAAAAAGAAAAACTCGATGTGAATTAAGCTAACTTTTAAATTTTATATATAAAATTTGATCGTAAAGAAAATAAATTTTGTTTTAATTGAGACCTTTATGATACCACAATATTCAATTAAACGAAACAACGAAATTGCAATATTTTAAGACCATAAATTTAAAAAAAAAAAACGAAAAAACAAAAAAGAAAAAAGACTAACGAAATTAATGAAAAAGAAAAAAAAAATGTAGAAGTAGATTCATATTAAAATCCATCATATAATTCACAAATTAGCAACAAATTTACTTCATATTTTATTAAAATTTCTTAATTTTCAAATTTCTCTTTAAAATAACTCATACATATATAATCTTTTGCTTCTCACTGTAAAATATTCACTCCAAATATAAATTTGTATTTTAAATTTTTTGATTTTTTTTTTTAAATAAACAATTCATATTTAACTTTTTAACCTAATAATGGAACATTAAATGCTACGACGTTTGATAAAAAGAAATGAATAAAGGATGATACAGTAAAACTTTTTTCTTGTTCAGATTTGAAATATTTTATTATTATAAATGATAAAGTTAAAACAAAAAGAAGGACAATAATAACTTTTCCATTTATTTTCAATTTCATTGCATAATATATTATCAAATGATAAAATTGAGATTATTCCTGATATTTGCACTTGAATCAAATTAACAAATACTTACATAAATAAAAATCAATTATTGAATACGACATGATTCATCCTCTTTCAATTCATCTGCAATTTTCTTCTGATAATATTCCACGAAACATTCACGTAATGAATTTAAATCTTTCTCAATTCGCTCCAAATCATCCGTAATCTTTCTAATATGTCGTTCAGCACAATTTGATGACATTACATTTCCATCATTCAGTACTGGTTCTGATTCTGATTCTGACATCGAATCACCTAGAAATTAAAAAAAATAAACAAAAAGAAAAGAAAAAAAAAAAAAAAAAAAAGGAATATGATTTGCATGCATGTGATTCGTTTAATAACTTGTGGAAAATAACAAATATGCCATAAAAATTTACTAAAATCTTTATAAATAACATAAATAAATATTTATCTTGTAAGTTATTAAGTTTTAAATTATTCTATTATTAACTCGCAATAAATTTTTATCTCCATATTATCAAATCTTATATTCTTTTACTAGCTTACTTTATTTAACCCTAACACATCAAATATAACAAAATACAGTTTGCTTATACTTTTATTTTATCCATAATTAATCACATTAAATATTTATGTAATTAAGTTGAGCAACATTACTCTATTATATAGCATAAATCATCTAAGTAACATATAACCAAGTGATATCAGAGAAAAAAAAAATTGACATTTAACTCTACAACGAAATTAATCACACTATATTATTTATTATTTAAGTAATTAAATTACTATTATTATAAAGTACAACTTACTTCGACATCCTAGTAAACGATTAACACTTGGTGCATCACCGCTAATTGCTTTTGCAGCTACATCCTTTAAACATTTAGCCAGTAATCGACATTCCAATATTTTATTCAACTGAATTCGAAGTAATTTTGACGTTGATGCAGAAAGTTGAATTTTGTCATCATTTTCCGAATCAGATAATATTACAGATGATGATTTGTCCACTCGTTTTGATGATTCTAAACCGGATGGTGATGATGGATGCAAGGATCGATCGCTTTTCTATAATGATAATCATTTAATATAAGAATAATTATAATTCAATCAAAATAAGTCTAGTAATATAGAAAGTTAAGTGGGAAATAACATTTTTAACAAAAAATATATAATTAATTTCAAAAATTAGCAAATGAAGCAATAGATTTTTCGAAATCATGACCAAAAATATTTAGATTATTCAAAAAATATTTGAAAAAAAAATTATTGAAAAAAAAAAGTAATAATAAACAAAAAGGAATAATAATTCAGAAAATACAGGATGGAAATAGCAGTGAGTTAAGAAAAAAAAATAATAAATGGTAAGTAATAAATAATAATAATAACTAATGTTAATAACAATAATAATAATAGTAACAATAATAAATGATAACATACATTTAATTATATCATTGATATCTTAACTTTTTCACTAAGAAGAGAAAAAGACTTCACTAAATTACTCGTTTTATTCCAAAGTTAGTTTTTTCAAATTGTTAATAAATTATTTCTATATGTTCTTTTTTAAGCACGAAAAAGAAAACGAAAAGTTTTCTATGCTTTAAATTATATTTCACAATTCGCTGAAATTAAATCACCAAAATCATATAACTTTTTTCTATCAAATAATATTGATAAGATATATGCTACGATGAAAATACATTAGAAAGATACCGTATTTGAATCCTTTGAATTGCTTAGAAATTTCGTTGGTTCAATATCAAATACAGAGAAAGCATCTGCTTTTGGTGTCACCGAACCACTTTCCATTTTACGAGATGCATCCATTTTCATCGTCTATAAAAAATATCGAAAATTTTTATTGAATTTTTGGTTCAAAATTTGAATCAAAAATTTTCGAAGTATATTTTCTCATAATTACTATCTTGCCACAAATTCATATTATTTTAGTATTTGAATCGGTTTTTCTAACTCATCAACTGTTCTTTTTAATTTTTTTCTTTGCAAAAATTCAAAGTATCGTGGAATTTTTTGAAGCAAAATTGAACTACTAAAGTGCAATTAGGAAGGAAAATCATTTGATCAAAACAAATTTTCCTATAATATCAAACAAAACAAAAGCGAGAAAAAAAAACTCTAAAACCAAAATTATCAACAAGGATATATAAATTTTCATTAATTTCATTATTCCATTTAATTCTTTACTATTTATTTATTTATTTAGCTATTTTTAAATTTTCCAGTACCTAAATAGAAAGAAAAATCAAAGTACCAAAAAAAGTAAAACTAACATGAATGCTATCCTCGAGATCTCGAATGGTTGCTTCCTTCGAATCAAGTTTTGCATTCAATGCTTCATTCTGTAATTCCAAAAATTCATATTCCTTCTTAATTCGTTCCAAATTTTTCACTAATTGCATATGTCGCTCCAAATCACTCCTTAACATTGCAATTTCTCGCTCCTACAATAAAATAAGTTATGAGAAGCTTTAAATAAAATAGTACAAATACATTTCATTTCATTTCAATTTGTTTCTTCATTTTTTTCAATAGCAATACATCAAATTATTAAAATGATAAAATGGCAGCAATTTTTATCAAATTTATCAAATCCTTTTAATGTAAAATAACACGCTAAAACTTGAAATGAATACTTTATTGCCAGTGATAATTTATGAAAAATTTGAACACAATTAATTTTTCATGAATGAAAGTAGTATTACAACTATTGTCATTATCATTATCACCGTTATTTTTTTATTTTATCAATTATTACCAACGTCATTGTAACAAACTTATTTTTTCACTGATAATTTTCTAATTATCAGTAAAAAAAGAGGTACCTGTGTAGAGATTTTTTCTAATGATGATGCAACAGCACTGTTACGATTAGCATCAACAGCCATTGCTTTTTCACGATATGCAACACATTCTTTTTCCAATTCAGCTAATCGAGCTTTCACTTTTGTTAATTGCAATTTAGCTTCTTCAGATTCACGACGAAATGTATTTACCTTTAAAAATTAACAAATACAGATAAATTAAGTTATAATTCTGTCAATTTTATTTTAATTGCAAGAATAAAATTGAGTATAACTAAAGAAGAAAAAAGCAGCTAAAATTTATAAGAAGAAGTCTACGAAGATGACAGTAAATGTGACAAACAATAGCAAAAGTAAAAATAAACATTTTTGCTTCTGCACAAAAGATAATATATGAAAACAAGTTATGGGATCAAAGATCAGAGCACAAAAGAATTTTTCAAGAGGTTAAAAAAGCTATATTTACTAATGCTATAAAAATAATAAAAAAAAAAAAAAAAAGGAAGATAAAGAAAAACTTCTTCATCGTATTGTACTTGGCGTAATTCCATTCGTGAATAACATTTGCGCAACTGTGATTGTAGCCTTAAATATTGAATATTAATGAAACAAAACAATGAAATAATTAATTAATTAATCTGAACCAATAAAGTAATGAAAAATAAATTTACTGAAAACATAATTTAATGAAAAACTTGAGAACTGATTCAATTTCAAAGATTTTTTTCAAAGACAAAAAAAAAAACTTCAAAATAAATGTCTTTTTTTTTTTTTTAAAGTTTAAAATTTTATCTTCATACCTTTCAACTTCAATTTCTTTATCGACCACCTCTTGTGCCATAAGTTGTTGAGTTACTGGTGTTGTTGCAGCTGAAACTACGAACTGACCCGAAGCAGAACGAAGAATACGTGATGAATCTGTAAGAAAATTATGAATAAAATTGATTTATTTCATTGTGCTCCTTCTATGGTACTTTATGGTACATATAAAAAAAAAAAAAACAGAAAATATTTGAGAATGAATTGCAAAAACAATATTATTTTTATTCAAATATAAGTAAAAGAAAAGAAAAACATTAATTTAATACGAAAATTAAACATTTCCAAATACCATTCAAAAAAAAAAAAAAATTAATTTAATTAAATTAATTGGTACTCATTATAAAAAAAAAAAAAAAAAAAAAAAACTTACTTTTGGAATTTACGACAGGAATGATAAAGGAAGTAGCAGATAATGATGTTGATGGTGCTTGACCAGGAATAACCGCAGCTTCTAATTCTCGTACACGTTGCTCTAAGACTGCTACCCGCATATCGTTATTATTTTTTGTACGACGATCATCAACTGAATATGAAAGTTAAATTTAAATTTGAAAACTGAATTGTTTTACGAAATAAATATATTACAATCGGTAAATGAGAACCGGAAGAAATGTTGAAAAATGTAATACATACAATAAAATATATGAGTACTAAATTAAATTTAATGGATTAATTCAAATATGATGAATTCAAAAAAAAAAAAAAAAAAAAAAAAAAAGATAACGAAATGACTTGGAATAAAATTGCTTCTATTTAATTTGGAATGAAATTTGCTTCACTGCTTCTATTTATGAAGAGTTGAAATACTTGCCAATTATTTGTTGATCAGCTGATGAATTATCACGATCTCGAGATCGCCAATTATCAGCAAACGATGAAATATGATATGCGGGTATTAATGCACCCCCACTTTGTCGTCGCTGTTGGCTAAAATAAATAAAGCTACAATTTATATTCCGAATTAAATTTAAGCTGCAAACTTAGAAATGGAAACAAAAAAGAAAACATTTCCGTAAATTTATAAAATGCAAAATATTGAATATTAATACTGACAAAATAATAATTTTGTTTCATTTTTGAACTTCTTGATTAATTAATTTTTTTTTTTTTTTTAAAGAAAATTGGTGAATAAAGGATTACGTATGAAGTGAACTTTTATGATTGGAATCACCACGCTCTCGATGATATGAATTCTGTGGTTGTGGAGCTACCATCATCTGAAATATAAAATGATACTTCACATATCAAATAAGCAACATAAATAAAAAATAATCATTGCAATTTGAATTTGAAGTAAGAATATTCTGGATGATAAAAGTTTTGGTTAGCATGTTTCATTATAAATTATAAACCTTGATATTAGTTCTAGTTATTAAGTTGTTAGACATAACATAAAACTAAAAGCATATTGCAAATTTTAAAAAAAAAAATATAAATTATTTACCCAATAAGTCCCTATTATCTAATCTTATTTATAAAAAAGAAAAAAGGATAGAAAAATTAAAATAAAATAAACAACTTTATTGATATTAATATGACACATTGATATAATTATTGATAAAGTGATCTCATTTTTTTTGCAATGACAAAATTTTAACTTTAACCTAAATATCAATGATTAATATGAAGAGAAGTAAAACACTATAAACTGTTGCAAATAAATATGGATAGGTAATAGCATAAAGTCCGAAAATTTATGAACGTTAACTAAAAAGTTTACAAAATTAGTAAAATTAATGATATAATTTAATTTAGTAATACTTGCAAACTTTATAAACTTTTCTTCAGATAAAAAAAATTCATTAATTTTATTTATCACTGCATGAATATATATGTAAAAAAAAGAACATTTATTAAAATATATAATGCACTTTAAGCATAGTTTCATTAAAAATATTCCAAACTAAAATCTTAAAGAAATATCTAAAATATGAGAAAGACAGAGCGAAAGAAAGAGGGGAAGAGAGACAGCACAATATTTTCTTGAACATTTGTTTAAAATGATGAATGATCAAATTAAAATAAAAATAAATGTAAATTGTAGAAAAGTTGTTAAAGTAAGCTTTTCAACTCTCAATAGAACGTCTTTCCAGATAAAAAGCATAATAAAAAAGAAAAATTAAAAAAAGATACAAGATGGTAAGATCAATGATATCTTATCGATAAGGTATCAAAGTTATATTTTATCTTAAATAAGAAAAAGAACTCCAAATTATTGTCATCAAAACGTTATCATTTACATTAACCCAAAATTGATCAATCATCAATCACAATTTTATCAATAGCTGAATTTTAAATATTTCAGATTAGAAATTTCAGATCAGAAAAATTAGAAATTGATGAATTAATCAAATTGGAATGAATGAAAACAATTCCTTTTTTTTGTTTTAAAATGTATTTTTGATGCATTCCTTAGAATATTTCAAACAATAATAATAATTCAATGATGTGATAATATGTTAAAAAGAATTTACTTAACCTTTCGAGAATTTGTTGTCGAATTCATTGGTACTATTTCATCAACTACAGCTGATGTACTTGCACCACTGCTAGCAGGCGTTGTATTTCCTGATGCACCGTGCGAACGAAATGAGCTATAAAATTTTAAAAAAAAAAAATTAGTTGAATTAAATTTAAAAAATTTTTTAGAATTTAAATTATTATGAAAAAATATCGTACTCCTCTGTAAGCTAATCGTTTTAATAAAATTAAAAAAAAAAAAAACCCAAACTAACAATCTAAAAATTGAATTAATAAATCTATTTTAAAACACTGATAATTTTAGGAAAAAAAATATTTTAAAAACATTACAATTTATATTAAGTTAACATGAGATAGGATAAACAAAAGTAGGGAAAAGAGAGAAATAAGTTAATAATAATAAAAGGGTCATCTGCAAAAAAAAAAAAAAGGTCAAGTGAGGAAGGATAAAAACCAAACGGTCAGTAGTAGTGGTCATTAGTGACGTACTAATGGTATAGCTAATGGTCAGTTTAATAATCTGCTAAACAATAATAAAGTGTAAGAAGAAAAGAATGGAAATACGATCAATCATATAAGCTAATCAGTAGCTAACAATAAATTATTGTAAACTTTGAATCAATAAGATTAATAGTTAAAATTTTCATAGAAAATTAAAAAATTATAAAAGCAAAAAAAAAAAAAAAAAAAAAAAAAAAACTAAAAATTAAGCAAAAAAGAAAAAAAAAATTTTTTTGGCATTTCTTCCTTTTTTTTTTTGAGAAAAAAAGCTTTTCATTATTTCTTACAGTGTAAAAATATGTTTGCAAATAACATTTTATTTAACAATGAATCATTTTTATTTATTGTAAGGAAACAAATAAGAATGGAAATATTTTTTATATTAACTGTTTTTATATTTTATGCTATTTTATTTATCCTTTTTTTTTTTAAAAAAAAAAAAAATATTTTTCAAATATACAAAATAAAAGGAAAGAAAAGATTGAAAAAATGTGAGAAAAAGAAAAAACTAATAAAAAAGTTTTAAAAATTAAAAAAAAAAAAAAAAAAAAAACAACTCAAAGAAAGAATTGAAATGAACAAACATATTATTTTGTTTCCAAACTAAACTAAAAAAAAAGAAAGTGATTAATATGAAGGGGAAAAAGAAAAAAAAAAGTAAAAATTCAAAAAAGCAATTGCTTTCAAATAAGTTGAAAAAAAAAAGAAGTGGGAGTAACAGAGGCAAGAAGAGGGAGGGAGAGAGAGGGAGAGAGAAAAAAAAAGAAACGAAAACAAGCAATGATTGATAAAGTATTTTAAAAAGAATCATTCTTTTTTCTTTTTACACCTTTTACTTACATTGTTAACAATTTTGCAAAAAAAAAAAAAAAAAAATTAATAAACCAAAAAAAAAAAAAGAAAAAGAAAATTATTGATGGAATATAAATGAAGAAAGAAGCAATTAATTTTTTTTTAACTATAAAGTTATTATTTAATACAATTTAAAATATTCAATAATTATAAAATAAGTATTCAGTATGATATTAAGTCAAATTATTTGGGAGAAAAAGTAATGCTTTATTGAAAAAAAAAAAGGTTCATATTCGAAAAAAAAAAGAAGGATGATTTATTTTATAATTAAAATTAAAAAAAAAAAAAAAATCATAAATTTTTTCATGAAGACAAACTATAGAATGAAGTTTTCATCTTTCTTTTTTTGAGAATTCAAAAAAAGAAAAAAAGAACTGAGTAAATTAAACTTACGTCGAATACATAGTAGCAGTTTGTTTCGATGTTGCAGTATTACTACCATTACCACTACTATCATTTGTACGCATCACTAACGATGACGATGGCGTAATTCGTAATTCACGTGGTCGATTAGTACGAGGTAACATTGAACCATCAATTGTTGAAGTTATTTGTGAAAATTCACAACGTGGACTACGAGATAATGGTGTTGAACAGAGTGGATATACCAGACCTTAAAAAAAAAGAAAAAAATGTAATCAAATAATGCATATTAGTATTATTGATAATGATCAATTAAATTTCTAAATTGCAAAAATTAATTCACCAAATATAAAATTAAAATGTTAAAATTCAAATCATGAAAAATGATTGTGCAACAATGACAAATAGTGAAGAAAAGAAAAATGAAAACATTTGATAAACTAAATTAATAGTTCCAAAAAAAAAAAAAAACTAGATTAACGATTAATATGAACTAAATATTTAATAAATTCAACAATAGTAATAATAATTAATTAATAACAATAGTAGTTAATGAAGTGATTAATAATAATTAACAACAATAATTAATAATAATAATTATAATACGAATAGAATATAAATATACAACAATTAAATTCATCAAATGTTTAGTACTAAGAAGAGATGTGCGCCATATATAAGCCAATAAATAATAACAATAATAGCAACAACAATGGCGTACAAATTGATAATAACAATGAATAAGGTTTATGATTGCAACAAATAAGCAAAGGAGAAAAGGAAATATATGCGCGTAAATAGAAAGAAGAATTAAAATTCATCAAATATGAGCACAAATTAGGCAACTGAGCCTTATTGGGGTTGGAATTTGGTAGGGTAGATGTTATAGCTATCACTAACCATTCATCAAAATGCATTTTTCGCCTGATTTTCAACAATAATTCAAATCACTTTCCCTCTCTCTCTCTCTCTCTCTCTCCCTCTGTTTTATTGAAGCAGTTGTCATCAACAATCATTTGCAATGGAAAAGGATGGAAAAATAGATGAGATGAGTTGTCTATTTATATATGAGTTGAGTTGAGGAAATTAAAAGGATCGATAAGAGAGTGGAAGAAGAACAAAATGAAAAAGAAGCCTAGAAGATAATGAAATTTCATGTCCTCATCTTCCAGTTCTTCCTCTACACAATCTTATTTGGTCCTTTACTTCTTATAAAAGCTAATCGTTAATATTTCAACATTCATTTCAATTATAACAAAAAAAAAAATCAATCATAAAGACAGCAAGAACTATTTTGATTAATAGTAAATAAATAAATTAAAAAAAAAAAAAATTGAATATATTTGAAATTTTAAATTGAATAATATATCCAATATTATACTTGCTTGTTGTATACAATAAAATTAAAAAACGTAGACAATGTAAAAGTATTCGCACATTTAAATGATGTTCTGTTAGCTGCTATCAATTTTAATTAGCATAATAAAGTAAAAATAAAAAAAACAAAACAAAAATCGAATTAAAAATGAAAGCATACAATTTAATTTTATTTTTTTTTTTCTAATAAATTTCAAAATAAAATATGATAAATTCAGAATGAAATACAATAAATTAGAAAATGTGATAAATTTAAAATAGAAATATAGTTAATTCAAAATAAACAATGTAACTCAAAATAAACTATGCTAAATTCCATACAAAATATGATAAATTGAGAATAAAAAAAAAAAAGTTTTGAACAAAATATCACGAATTTAAAATCATCTTTCCCCATGGAATGTAATTTGTTGAAATTTTGTTCAAATCAAAGCTAAGTTCACATTATTCATTTAAGACACCGCTTGAAATATATAATCATATTCTTATCAATTGGAACAATGTCAAATCACTGCTTCGATATACAGCTAACCACATAAATCAGTATCATAACACTGATACATATAAGTGATATCAACTATGATTAGTTGATAACAATTGCTGTTATCAATTATTAATATCAATATTGTAAAATTGACATTCATTTCATACTATTTTATCTATTACTATTTCTAAACATCTCATCCTTCAACTTATAATACTATCTTCATTCATTATTATTCCACTTGTTATCACTATCATTATCATTATCATAAGTTTAGCTTGCTGAAATTATTATTTTTATTCATTAAGTTTAATTACTACTACAATAAACGCTGTCTTATTGTTGTTTCTGCTGCTATTATCATTATTTGAATTCAAGCTACAATATTATGTGAACAACTGCGTACAATTGTTACATATTTGATAAATTACTTAAATTTTATTAGATTTTTTAATTTCACTTAAATTATATTATTTTCTTTGATGATATCGTTTCTTAAAAAATAAAACAGAAATATAAAAATTCTTTCACATAAATTGAATGGGATAAAAATTTGAAAAATTAATGAAATCATTAACATTGATAAGTGAATCATTGAATGAAAATAGTGTGATAAAACCATTAGAAACAGTTAAATTAAAAATTAAAGTAAAATATTCTTCATATATTTCCCCTTAAATATAATGACATTTAATTTAATCAATAATATATCTTGCTTAAAATGATGACAATTCTGGCTATACGTTTATCGATTATTAGCATGAGATAAAAATAATTTCTAATGATTTGTAGACGAAATAATAACGAATTATACAATACATTTAAAATTATGTATTCATTGAAATATAAGAACTAATGTTAATTATGGTTATAATTTAATAAAAAAAAGAAAACAATAACAAATAAAACAACAAAAAGAAAAGTCAGAAATGCAAATGAAGGAAAAAAAAAAGGTCAAAAATATAAAAGTTATTTCACTATAAACAAATTAAATTACATCTTCCAAGCACAATAACCTATTTTTTCCGCTAAATTTTAAAATAATCTCAAATTCAATTACTCATGGATTAAATAATTGTGTTAAAATTAATCCTAATATTATTATACAATAAATCATTTCCTGCTAATCTAATTTGGATTAAATCTAATTACATTCAATATCATTATGCTTTATGTTTTATGTTTTATTTATTTATTTATTTATTCATTTTTTGTTTTCCTTTTCAGCAATGTTATTTCTTCTTTTTTTTTTCTTTTTTTCAAACGAATAATTTTCACCAATTAAAATGAATAGTAAACAGTTTAAAGAGAGAGAGAGAGAGAGAGGGAGGGAGAGAAGGAAAAGAAATATGAGATATTGAGCAGTACTAAAAAAGAAAATTTTCCTCTTTTTTTCTTCTACTCTAATTCATTTCATCTTATTTCGATTATTTTTTTTATAAATGTGAAAAATTATTTATTGAATAAATGATTCATAACTAAAGAAAATTTGCTATGAAATGATTTTAGTTCTTTGGAAAATCATTTGAAAAATGTATTTAAAAATATAATACATATCACTGAAAAAAGAGCAAAAAAAGCTGCTGAAATTGGAAATATTAAATTATTTAAAAAAAAAAAAAAGGGAAGAATGCGATAGAAAGGAACAAGGAGAGAAGAAAATGTTACGAATGTTTATCTTAAAAAATGTTTTAGAATTAATATGAAAGAAGAAAGAATGATAAAAGCTCCATTTTTTTTTTTTTTTTTTTTGATAAAAAAATTACATTGTCAAGAAATAATTTTGATTTCAACTTTTAATACTTTTTACCTTCTACTTTGATATTTAATAATGTGAAATTCTTCCTCATATATCGGTGATTTTTCTTCTTTAAAAAGAATGAAGAGAAATTTGATAATATAAAATTTGGTAAATTGACAATGCAATTAAATTTCGATAAATTTTAAATTAACCAACATTTTATAATTTGCACACTGAATTCCTTTTCTTTCTTTTAATATTTGTAAAACTTAATTTACGCATAAAATGGGAATTTTTAAAAATTCTTTCATAATAAACTTTAGTAACAAGGTGAATAAAACTTCAAGATATACTTAAGTATTGAAAAAGAACCAAAAAGTACTTATGAAATAAAAAAAAAATAATGAGAAAAAGAAAAAAGGAAAAATGAAATTTAAAAAGAAAGAATCAAAGAGTACTACAAGAAAATAGCAATCATTAGCCCATCATCTTTAATTTTTTTTTTCAATCAAATTCCTTGAAAAATTTCAAGAGTAATAAATCGTATTTTGTTTAAGAATGGAAATTATTCATTTCTTATGCATTAAAATCAATGATTAAATCTCACATAATGTTACGTTAGCCAAAATGAGTGATGTTTAACCAATTGTAAATTTAAAAAAAATGTATAAAAGAATAATATTAAATCAAAAGACAATTAAAATAGAGAAAGAAGAAAATCAAATTTGAAAGTTTAATTTCAATTTAAAAAAATATAATGAAATGAATATAATACCATCTTCTGGTTGAGTATTTCGCCTATGACAATAATATGGTGGCGGATCACCACAATCATATCGAGAGAGAGGTGTTGAAGGTGATGTATATGCTCGAGTAATATCACTGCTATAGTAAGCTCGTATATCACCTAAAATTTCTTCTTTTAAAAATTTAAAAATTTCACTATAATTAAGTCTGATTGAAAATTATAGCATAAATGTTAGTCTTCTGAAAATTATATATATTTTTTTATTTTTTTCCTGTGATTTATTACTTTTTTTTTCTTTTTTATTTCTGTATTCTCTTTTAAAAATGCATAAATTTTTATTTTCAGATTTCAAAAATTTTTTTTCGCTTAAAAAACTAGTTAAACAATTATAAATAATAAATAAAATATTTTGTAATTGAAAAATTTTGAAAAGAAACATGCATAATATGTAATAATATCTAAACAATCAAGAACAATATTACATATATAAATATATGAATGTAGGGGAAAAATATAAATGGATATAGTAAACTGATTATTTAAAAAAGAAATAACAATAATTGGAATAAATAAATTAAATTAATATTTAAATTCAAACATTTAAAAAGTATAATGAAGAAGCAAAAAGATAAATACTAAAGAGATATCTAGCTTTTTAGTATTAATATCCATTGTTATTTAATAACAGGAAATAATTATGGACTACATGAAGTAATTAATAACTTAGCTTTTATTATTTTTTATTAGTTTATTGCATTTTAGTTTTTTTGAAATGATATTTAAATAATTGATATATTATATATGTATATATTCAGCTGAGAATTTTTGAGCATCAATAAATACAATAAAAAATAAATAAAAGTAAATTTACATCAATTGAAGCGTAAATTCAAATCATTAAATTTTTGATTTCAAAATGAAAGCAATTAAAATTGACATAAATAAGTTAATCGTAATTAAAACATTTGGAAGATAAAAAAAGAAAAAGAAAATGGAACAATACAGGAATATCACCTTATCATTTATATGAAATATTCTTTCTTTTTATTTTATAAGCAGTAAATACAGTTAGGAATTATATTATTTGATAATAGTTTTTTATATTTATTTCTTGTATATTTCATTTTTATATTCAAAGCCATTAGTATTTTTTATTTCCCACTGTTATTTTTAATTCATAACATTTCATTCTGTTGAAATATTCTCGAAATATATTAAATTATAATTCTTAAATTTCAAGTCCCTTCAAAAAGTCCCTTCATCAACTTTTTTTAATTTTTTTGTTTTACCAAATATATTTCTTCAGAATGAGAAAGGTATTTAAACGTTTTCAATCACTTAAATGTTAATGTATTTTCTTTTTAATTTCATGTATTTTTTTTTTTTTTCCATAAAATTCATTTAGTGTTTATATCCAATATGAAAATGACAAAAATTACACATCACATTAATATAACAGAAATTACAATTCACAGTAAAATAATACAAATCAGGTTTTTGTCCTTTTTTTTTTCATTTTTTTAATAAACATAAGTTACTTTTAAAACTTCTTTTTTACAATACAAATCATTGAGAGATCATTAAAGCTCTAAAAATATTTTCCTTTTTTGTTCGACTTTAAAAAAGATTAATATTTAAAATAATTAAGCATTCATTGACTACCAAAGAATGCTTTTTGTGAAAAAAATCACTTTTTGGCAATTAAATTTCGTTTAATGAAAAAGACAAAAAATTTTAATTTTAAAGAAAAAAGAAAAATTAAAACCTCTTTCATCAGTTATACCATAATCATATTCTGATCCTTCTCGACTTCGATGTACTGTATTAGGACCAACGATAGCTGTTCGACTACCACCTAAACGTTAAAGAAAGAAATTAATTTATTGTTTACAACATTTTTACAATGAAATTATTAATTCAATAATTTCGAAAAATTGTAAAAAAAAAAAAAACAAGACAAAAGTTGAACTGTTATAAATAAAGTTAAACTATTATCTATGATGGAAGAAGAAGATTTAGAAAATAATCGGTAAAAAACTAAAAAATATTTAAGTTCAAATATTATCTAAAATACAGAAATTTATAGCCATTCTCATCTCAAAAGTATAATGTATAAATTGTACAAATTCATAAAACAATTCAAATTTATAATTTGCAAAGTGAAAAATGATAAGCGAATTAACAATTGAGATAAGATAACAAAATAATAATGATATAAAAGAATATGGAATTGATTTCCTAATAAATATAAACAATAATTTAAAGTTAAAAGGTTATCAGGAAAGGTTATTTACTGCCGTAATAATTTATAAATATATTGATATCATAACTATTAAAATGATATTGTTTTTTTAAAACTACAATAAATCACTTACAATGAATTACTTGAATTTTTTGAGAAAGATACTACGAGAGAGAGAGAGAGAGAGAGAGTGGAGGAGAGAGAGGGAGAAAGAAAAGAAATAAATATAAAATTACTTACTGGATAATGTAGGCTCAGGTAAACCATCAATATATGACGTGGAACGTGTAGCAGTAAGCTGATTACTGTCGTAAGTAGATGGAATGCTTCGATTTAATGATTGAGGAGTGGAAAGACATCGTGATGGCATCCCAAATTTCAATTCTTTGTTGTTATTTTCACTTTCACGTCGACGAAATCGTACTTGAAATGAAAATTACTTAAAATAAAAAGGGTTAAAAAATGAAAAAGTTTGAAAAAAAAAAATCAAAATTAACCAAAGATTTAAACTGATTTCAGTTTTAATGTTTTATTTAATAAACAACTTTACTGCAATTAATTTATTCCCTCTTCATATGATGATAATTGCAATTTTTTTGTTTATGCTAACAATTAATCAATAATTAAAATTCATTACATTCTTGAAATTTCATTTAATAGTATTTATTACAATGAATTTTTATCCAATTTTTCAAAATACAATGTTTTTGCGTTTCTTTGCTACTTTTGTTTACTATTGCAGAACTCGAACACTAAATTTCTAAACAATTACTATTAATTTTAGATTTTAATTTATTTATAATCAAATATAATAAAATTTCGTGCATTTCTATAATTATCACTGAATTTAGTATGAAAATATAGCATAGAAGAAAAGAGAGTAATGAAATTAATCAAATGAGCAAATTTTTGTTAGTTTTAACTGAAACTTTTTCTTTTTTTTTTTTATTAAAATAATGAATTAACCTTTTCAACTTCTTTTTTTTTTTTTTTCTTTGTTAAAATAAAAGAATTAACAAATTTTTAACTAATTCGTCTATATGATGAGAAAGATAAAAAAAAAGAAAAAGGAAAAAAAAAAGAGGAAGAAACAATTTGAAATGTCAACTATACTATCTAATTTCTTTCATCATTACAAATTAAATTAGAATGAGAAGTGATACGTTATTCTGATACTAAACCGGTTCAAGTTTTACCTTGCTTGATTGAATGAAACTGCTATAAATTAATTGGATTATTTTATTAATCTGTCGTTAACTAATCCTATCGTAATCAAATTTTTTATATCGACCAATTAAGATAGTTAATGAGCCATTAACTAGTATCTATTTCATTAAGAAATAAAATTAAATCAATTTGCCTCATTAAAGGATTTATAAATGAAAAAATTAACAAAACATATATTAATATAATTATCACATTCATATACCATTTATTCAGGATCATTAAAATAGTAAGTAGAATAATAAGTGAATAATAGTGAAACACTTATAGAGTAATTAAATTAATATGAAATCTTCCCTACATCTCATTAAGCAATTAAATATAAAAATTTTTCAACATTTATCACTAAATGCTTATCACATGCTGCAAATTAGTAATTAAATTTTTTTTTTTTTTTTAATGTTAACCATTCTTAATATTAAATTGTTGCAAATAATTTACATTTGTCATTTCACATTAACAAAATTATAATTAATAAATCTTAATTAAGCATTCATAATATTAAACTACTTTGTTATTTATATTTTTTTATCGCTTTATCATAGTTCTTTATTTTTTCAAATAATTAAAATAAATTTTTGATGTAAAAAAAATAAAATAAAATAAAGATAGAAATAAAAATTTAAATTTACCATTATTTAATGCGGCACTAAGCCAAGATGAGCACAGCATTCACTGAGAATAAAAACAGAGCAATAAAAAAAAAAAGTAAATAAATAAATTATTTTTATATATATATATTTTTTTTTTATTTTTGATATAAAGAAGAGCGAAAGAGCAACAAGTGAAGATGAGACGAAGATGAATGAAATGAAATCAGCGCAGATGTTTCAAATTGCTTTGCTTTATGAATGAGTATGAATGGGATGGCGAAACGATGAATGGATTGGATCGATTTCATTTATCTTCTCAAATTTCATATCTTTTAAATATATATTTTAAACATTTTCGAAATTTTTTAAATTATTCATTTCATTAATTTAAACATATGCATATATTTAAACAATAAATTATTTCTATAGATTTTTAAATGTACTTAAATAATATATGAATAAATCCATATTTCGTATATTATATTACTATAATAATAGTAATAATAAACAGTAATAACAGTAACAGTTGAACTTATCAAATAAATGTCACCAAATGTCGTCTGTCCATTTTATGTAAACAGTATATTTCAAACTAAACAATCCTTTCCCTCCTATTTTCTCTCTTCCTACCTCTCTCTCTCTCTCTCTCTCTCCCTCTCTTTTCTAGAACGAGTAAAGAGAGTGCACAAATGTGAATAAGTAAAGAGAAAAAGAAAAAAAGACAAAGTAATAGGAAAGTGATGAAAGTGAATAAACGAGGTTAAACATTTCATTACTACAAAAATTTTCGATCATTTCGCATTTTACAAAAATAAAAATTATGAAAATAGCATGTCAATGATATGAGACAGCAGAGAGAGTGTCAAAATGAGAAAGATAGACGAGTAAATGAAGAGGAAGAGGAGATAAAACTAATGAAAAGAGTTCGGAATTGATGATGATCGAATGGGATGAAAAAATAGAAAAGATAATAAAAAGTGAAGAGGAATGATGAAAAAGAAGAGACGGAGGAATAAAATATGTTTTGAAATGATGAGAATAGAGGAAAACAAAACGAAAGAAAATTAAATAGGAATTGGAAAAGAATTAATAATTATGCTAATGATAATAATATTCATAATAATAATAATAATAAAATAGTAATAATAATGATAATAATAATAATAATAACAATAATAATAATAATAATAAATAATAATAATAATAATAATAATAATAATAATAATAATAATAATAATAATAATAATAATAATAATAATAATAATAATAATAATAATAATAATAATAATAATAATAATAATAATAATAATAATAATAATAGAATGGTAATAATGATTAATAATAATAATTAGGAATTAGTAATAATAAAATAATAATAAATAGCAATAATAGTAATAATAATAAATAAATAATATTGATTAATTAATGATTTAATCGTATATTTATCATAGTTATAACGATTACATAATTGTCATAGGTATTATTGAAGCGGCAAAATAGAGCACATTACCATCAATTATCAATTATTACTTTTTTTTATTTGTTATTAATTATTAATATATATATATATATATATTGTTATGAACTAATTTTTTTTATTTTTTTTCTATTTAATTATTTGCTATTCAAAATATTTTATTTCTTTCGTTTAATTTTTTCAGTTGAATTATTTAACTATTGAAAATAAGAAAATTTACTCAAATTTAATTTATTCGTTGTTAGCAGCTTAATTATTTAATTACTGGGATTAATTATTATTATTATTTGTATATTATTATTATATTTTTGTTTGTTATTATTAATATTACTTATTATTATTTTATTATTATTATTATCATTATTATAGAAATATAAAGTGAACAATTAATTATAGGTAATATTATTTATTTTCTGTAAAAAAGAAATAGCAAATAATAAGAACTAAAAATTTTATGCTATAATCGCTTAAGAAAAGTATCATTTGAAACTTACAAGAAAAAATGAATTATTTCGATCGAACATTTTATAAAAGTTAACGTATCATAATTTGAATGTAATTGAATTATTAAGTAAGTAGATTGATAAATTTTATTTATTTTAGAATTAAGGATAGTATCAAGAAAAAAATGTTATTCAGTTATCGATTAATTATTTGATTAATCTATTTCATTTATTGATTATTTTCAAATTATCCACAAAGTATATGCATTATTTATTAAGAAAGTAATGTTAAAAAATATTTTGTTTTCTTCTTTCTGACAATAATATTAGAAATTTGAATTAATTTGAAATTTTTAGGTAGTTTAAAAGTTTGACAAAATTCTCATACCAACTAATTAAATAATTAATACATTTTAAATTAGAAATTCAAATTTAGGTCAAACTCATTACAGCAATTCAATATCAGTAATGTTTTTCACTTTTGCATTTTGCAGGAATAAAATTGAAATTTAAATAAAACTAATAAAATGATGATGAATCATCATGATTTGCTTGCATTTTTACTACTATTATCCTAATTAATATGTACATATATTTCGATATATGCCACGACGAATTCAATTTATTCTAATTTAATTAGTTTTAAATTAAATCAATTCATTTATATTTAAATGAAATTAATTGCAAAGACATTATATTATATTCAAGTTAATTAAGTAATATTATTCCAGCAAAATTATTCAGTAGGTAATTAATTCTTATGCATTAAAATTAAACTAATCTCATAACTATATTAAAGTAAAATTAAATTTAAACATATTCAATTATATTTTAAATTCATTTAAAAGTAAATCGATCGCGTACAATTGCTCACATATAATTATTTCCGACTATTCAAATTTAAAAAAAAAATAATTTAATTATACTTAATTGAGATTATTTCAAACATATCAAAATGCATTTTGAATAATACTTTAAATGTAATCTGATTAAGCTCAATTTGATTTAATCATAATAGCATAATTATACCATTAAATAATGGTGAATAGTTTGAATGTGGATGATGTGATAAGTAATAATTCAATTAAAATTAATTTACTGATATATCTGAAATTTGAAATTAATTATTCAATTTTTTAATTACTAAATTATTATTACGCTTATTTACCTGTAATTGATGCAATGGCATAATTATTTTAAATGTTTTCGTATAAAAATCATTCAATGAAAAAAACAAAAATGAAAAAAAAAAAAGAAAAAGAACAAAATTTGTTATCTATTTGGAAAAATTACCTGAAATGCATCTATGATGAATTCAATTTAAATTTCAAATCATCAAAATGCTCCAAATTCTCCTAATGTTATCATTATAATGATAATAATAGTGATAATGATGATGATAAATGATCTCTACATCAAAAATAATCGTAAAATGAGAAGAGACAGCTTAAATTTAAAAAAACTTTGATTTAAAAAAAAAAAAAAAAAAAAAAAGAGACAACTAAAAAAGAAAAATATTTAGTCCCTGAATATTTGAAATAAAATAATGATAAATCATTGATAATATTATTCTTAATGTAAATGATAATAATGATGAGGAAATTATTTTCATTATTTTATTATGATTATTATAAACATTCATTCATTATTTTCATTTCAACATTATTAATTGTGTAATTAACAATTAATTGTTAATTAATTATCAAATTAAAATTAAAATTGAATAATAATATAATTCTTTTCCACATATTATTACAATGACAATTGCTATTTTCAGTAATTCCAATTTGTTTTCTTGTGGTTTTCAATAAAAAGCAAACAATAAAATTGTTTTGTTTGAATTGTCGATAATAAAATGAATAAACTGTTCACTTTAATTTGTTGATTTTATTTTTCCACATAAAATAATTTTTTGTTTTTTGGTAATAAATTTTAAAATAAAAAAGCAATTAATTTTTGAAATCAAAAAAAAAGTAATAAAAAATTGAAAAAAGACTTCAATAAATAAAAAAAAAAGCTTTTCAGGAATTTTATGAATAAAATAAATGTTTGTTAAATAAAAATATTATATAATAAAAATAATATAAGTGGCCAATGTTTTAAACAAATTTTATAATTGCATTTTCAAATTTTTAATAGAAATAACATCGTTTCTTAATAAAAAAGAAACGATTTACTCGATTACTTAATTATTTTATCACAAAAATTAATTTTTAAGTTTAAAAATCTGTGCAACTAATCAAAATTCATATTACGATCACATTGCTAAAATATTTATTTTAATCTCATTTCAAATCTTCATTTAGCATTTTAATTTTTATATTAAAAAAAAAAATATTATTTCTGATATATTCGAGAGAAATTATTAATAATAAGAAAAATTATATAACAGTAAAATAAGAAAAAAAAATAAATTTTAGATTATTTGTTAAAATTGTTAAAGTATTTACAATTTTTCTTTTCTTTTTTTATACAAAAAAAAAAAAAAATGAAACGAAAAATAAATTATTTTAAAATGAATTCTGCAGAAAATTTATTATTTATAAAAAAAATATTTAAAAAAATTGTTTTCAAAGATATATTTTTACAGTGATATTTTATCATCATTTTTGTTTTCAATTTTAACTAATTTCTGAAAAATGATATTTTCGAAGAATTTTTTAAAATAAATAATACATTTTAAAATATTTCGAAATATCATAAAAATTTGAATGAAATGAAAAAAATTACCAATTTTGGAAATTTTTGAGAAAAATATTTATTCACTTCCTAATTTAATTTAATTGCATAATAAAAAAAAACAAACGATAAAAAAATAAAATCCATTGGAAAATAGAAAATTAAAGAAAATTATTTTTTTTTTCTTCTGAATAATTTATGAGAAAAAAAAATTATCCAAATTTGTTCGTTCAAATTATTCATTTAAAAAAAAAATTAAAATCACTGAATTTGTTTTCTAATTGATTCACTTTTCGTCATTATCATTTCGTGAAGAGTTAATTAGTATTAATTTTAAAATATTTATTTCAATAAATTTTTTCTTTAAAAAAATTCTTCCACATTATAATGTGAGAATGAGAAAGAAGTGAAAAAAGGAAATAAAATTTTAAAAGATTTAATATTTCTTTCCTCCTTTTTATCTTTTATTTATTATTTTTTGCGCTCAAAATATTTTAAAAAAAATAGGATAATTTTATTTATAATAAAATAATTAATTTTGAAAATTTTATATAAAAAAAATATAAAAATGTATATAAAAAAAATTCAATAGAAATTTTGAAAAATTTTTCCACATTATTTATATTTCCTTCCTATATTATTTATAAATAATACTATTAGAAAAAAAAACAAATTAGCAGAATTTGCATATTTAGTAATTTTTTCCTAAAATTTTTAACTTTTTCATGCGCAAAAATTTTTTCAAAAATTTAATAATCATTTCGATTTTTAGATTTTTCGATCGATATTTAAATTATAAAATATTGGATATATTTATTTTAAAAAATTTCCTATTTAACTTTTATTGTTGGTATCTTTTAACTTATATTTTCAGTATCAATCGATTTCATTTCTTTTTCCTGAAGTAAATGTATTTATTTGTTGTCATTGCCAATATTATTGTCATTCAATGCTAACAATCTTACTCAACAATTACTCAATTACTTAATATCTCATATAAATATTAAGTTATCCTTCTTCTGCCAATTTTATATCATTCATATTTCGACCAATTCTTTTGTTGAAATAAAATAAATTTAATTTTTAATTTCTTTTTTTACCTATTGCAAGATAAAATTGAATACTAATGCATTTACGATTTATCATTTATTTTTTTTTTAAATTAAAAAACTATTAATGATAAGAAACATACTGCTAATTTAATAATGAAAATAGTTTTAAAAAATTAGCAAACTATTCTTGAAAATAAAAATGAAATAAATGTAAGTTATGTTTCAAAGTAAAAAAAAGAAGAAAAATTAATGTTAATTTTATTTTCCTTTTATTTTGCAGTGCTAAACAGAAAAAATTTTTATTTTTTTCCAAACAAAAAGAACAAAGAAAATAAATGAATGATTGATATTTCAGACGAAAATATTTTATTCTGAACTTTTTCTATCTAAAATTTGCATAAATTTATTTCATTTTTTAATTGTAAAATTATTTTTCATTTCTATTTATCATTTTTTTTTCCATTCATTAAATTAAATAAATATGCAAACATATAAATAAATTATATATACGAATTGAGTACAAATAATTAATGCATTAATTCAATTACAACAGTTTCAGTTTAGTATTAACAATTAGTTGTTTATCATAAATTTTAAGTACTTTAATAGCAATAAATAATGTAATTCATTATCATAAAAATTTTATAAATTAAAGTATAGAAATTAAAAGAATAAATAATTATTTAAAAAAATATGTGATTTTTTTTTTAGCATTGTGTTTTATTATTATTTAATTAGTATTATCTTTCAATATTCACATTAATTGATTAATTAAATTTACCTAAAAAAGTTAATCTTTTCAATTATTTTTTATTTTTAAAATTATTAAATCTTTAATTAATTTTTTAGAAGAAATAAAAACGGAAAATAAATGCATTTTATGAATAATTTAACTAATATTTCAATGAAGGGAAAAGTTAATTATATTTTATAATTGCTAATGAAACAATAATTGATGAATTGAAATTTATTATATTATCTAATTTGCATCATTCTAATTAGTCAATTAATTAAGCAATATGAAAATGTTTTGAAATGAATTTTCAGCATTTTAATTACAACAATTTTCTAATGGGTCTAATTTAAACTAATTATGCATTACTCTATCTTTCTTCAATTTAACACATTAAAATATTTTATCCCTCCAAATGTTACAAGAAATGAAATGTTGTTTGACAAATGACAATTTAAAGCAACACTTAATTTACAACTTTTACTTTAATTTAAACTAATACGGTTAATTAATTAATTAATTAAATAAAGAATATTCAAGTGCCTCGAAATTTTCATTTCAAGCACAAATGAAATTATTTATCTATTAATTTCATTTTATATACTAAAAATAATAATTTCTAGCCATCTATCATTTGACCTACAATTAATTAATAGGATTTAATTTACTCGAAATATTATTAAAATGTAACTAATTAATGTTAAAATTAATGGCTAGGTCAAAATTAAATGATTTTTCAAGTAATGTAATAAATTAATAAAATAATTTTATATGAATTTAAATATATGAACTTAAAAATGGTAAATTTGTCATGAATTGCAGCTATTTATTATCATAATTTATTCATTTTTTAAAATTCCTTTCAAATTTAAAAAAAAAAAAAAAAATTGCGTATTTGTTGAAATAATTTTGATATTATAATTATTGCGAACATTATGAAAAAAAAAAAAAAAAATGAATGACAAATATGAATAATATAATTTGAATAGAAAATGCTCCAATATTTTGATATGAATTTAAGTTTAATTCCTATTTTATATACTATTTATTAATTTAAATAATTCAACAAATCTATGTTTTATTTGAAGTTGAGAGAAAATAAAAGTGAAAAAACATGAAATTCACTTCATAGACAATCTACTTTGTCATAAAAATTAAATTAAAAATTTGAATAAACTGAAAAGATTAATTAATGAATTTGATGATTTGGAATATGAATAAGTTAATTAAACAATAGCTAATTAATCAATGTTTAAAATATGCCAACATCTGTTGATTTAATAAATTGAGCAAATTAAAAATTAGATAGAATAGATCAAAGAATTAAATTTATTGCTGTAATTATTATTGTTAATTTTTTTGTTAAAAAAAGTTCAAAATAAATAAATACCTGGTGATGGAAAGGTATAGCTATTATTACTATGTTAATTAATAAGTTAGTAATTAATAAATTTTTCAACTATTTAAATTGGCAAAAAAGAAAATTAAAAAAAGTAATGATCCAGCTGATAACAAACTTTAAACATATAATCATTGAGGAATTAAAAGAATTAAGAAAAAAAATCTGCTCAAATTTTAAATCAAATTCAAATAATAGCAAGATCAATTGAATTGATCAAATATAAAAAGTAAAAAAAAAAAAAAAAAAAAATTGAAAAAAATTATTTAAAATGTTATAGTTTGAATTTTAAGAGAAATAATTGTTAAATTTAGTAAATGAATTTGCATTCGCTTATAATAGAATATAATATTTCATTGATAAAACTACTGACAAATAAGTAATAATCAATAAAAAAGCGATCAAAAAAATTTTTTCTCATTATTTCTACAAGTTTACAAGCACAGTGTTATCAGTAAACATACCTTTATCACTTACAGATAATGGTGATAACGATTGCGTTTGTTCGTAGAAAACGCCACACTTTTTAACTTTTTGTCGAGATTTGTTGATTACTGGCAATGAACTTTTGTCAATATTATTTAAACAATTTGTAGTTGTTATTTTAGAATTAATTGTTGATATTTGTGGTAGAATAGTGGTTAAATGAGATTGAAATATTAATTTTGAATTATCATAATTCATCGATTGCGTTTCACGAAATTGTCGCGCAAATGAGCAAAAAGTTGTATTTTTCTTGCTATTTTTATCAGTTCTTTGATTATGATAATTTGAAGTAATTAATTCTACATCGCTTTTACTTTTATCATTATTTGTGTTTGTATTCTTTGGTGATAATGTTTCCATAAATATTTTGTAATTGTTTTGATTAAATAAATTATATGAGTTATCATTGATGGATGATGATAATTGATAAGGTTTCTGATTAGTTAAAATATCAGCTGCTGTTGAGCAATTTTTGTTGAAATTTGTAGAAGTAGAAGGATCATTACAGTGACATTTATGATAACATTTTGAATGATATGATGGTCGCCGTGGTTCAGCTGATAGAAATGGTCGAGTGACAACGTAGCGTAATCGTTGACCTGTAGGCGTAGACGTACGTATTATTAGACGTTCACTTATTCGTCCTGAACTGGTATTAATTTCATCCTTCTTCGTTTTCGTCGTTTTCAGTTGCTCCAAGTGTTGAGATTGACATTTTTCCTGTTGATATTGTAATCGTTGCTTTTGTTGTTGGCGCTCTTGTCGTTGTTGATATTCTAGTTGTTTTTGTTGACGCTCTGTTCGTTCTCGTGTTGATTGCTGTTCTTGTTGTTTCTGTTGTTGGCGCTCTTGTCGCTGTTGTTGATATTCTAGTTGTTTTTGTTGACGCTCTGTTCGTTCTCGTGTTGATTGCTGTTGTTGTTGTTTCTGTTGTTGGCGCTCTTGTCGCTGTTGTTGATATTCTAGTTGTTTTTGTTGACGCTCTGTTCGTTCTCGTGTTGATTGCTGTTCTTGTTGTTTCTGTTGTTGGCGCTCTTGTCGCTGTTGTTGATATTCTAGTTGTTTTTGTTGACGCTCTGTTCGTTCTCGTGTTGATTGCTGTTGTTGTTGTTTCTGTTGTTGGCGCTCTTGTCGCTGTTGTTGATATTCTAGTTGTTTTTGTTGACGCTCTGTTCGTTCTCGTGTTGATTGCTGTTGTTGGCGCTCCTGTTGTTGTTGTTGATGTTGACGTTGTTTTTGTTGCTGTTTTTGTTTAGGATTTTTTAAATGCCTTCTTGAAAACATCCTACTAATTGTTATATATTTGCGCATAGGTGCATAAATATAAAATTGATTCACATTAATTCTTCATAACCGTATATTATCAGAATTGTTTTTTTTTTTAAAAAAAACATAGTAAAAATATACTGGGCGTTTTTCTTTCAATGTTACTATAATAGTATAGTAAAGTAAGTGCTTAAAAAAATTTTCATTCTAAATTTAATTTAGAAAAAAATAAAACTGAAAAAATATAACTTTTTCTTTCTTAATTTGTAAAAAGTTAACAAATAAATAAATAACTTCAAATGAAATTAACGCATAGCATTTAATTAAAGCATACGTCCAATTTTCAATTAAATAATAAATTGTGCAAATTTTTTAAACTAATTTGACAAAGGAACAATTTTACACTTTTCATTGAAATTAATATCAAAGAGACAGAGAAGAAAAAAGGCGAAAGACGTACGCAATTTAGAGGAAAAGGGGAAATGGAAAGAAATGAATTTGAAATTTTTAGTTTACTTTCAGATTTGTTATCTTAATAAAATTTTTACTAAGAAATAAAAATCCACGGAAAGGATGAAATGGAAGAAATTATTCCAAATTATAGATAAAACCATCGTATAAGTTTTACTAATTAGAAAGTCAAAAGCAAAAAAAAAAAAGCAAAAACTTGGTATGTCTTTCATTTTGCAAACAAAATATCCAATTTAATTGCATTATTTTTATCACAGTATTTTTGATTAATTGGACATTTAAGTTGTTAATTTTCGAAATAATTAAAAATCTTTACATCTTTTCTTTTGGAGAAAAGCTATCCTGAATTTTGAGGCAGAAAAATGAAACGAAAATTATTCAATTACATATTTATAGTCCAGAATTACTCTAAATTTATGCAAATATAAAATTTGTTTGAAATTATGCGAATATTATTCCTCCATTTTTAATTATAGAACTTAAAAATAGTCCATGGCAAACGATATTTAAAATTTGAAATAACTTATCAATAATGCAACATAATATATTAACATCAAAGGACAATATAAAATGAGTTTAAGTAAAAGAAATAAACAAACAAAGTAAATAAGAGTTATAATTTTAAATGAGAAAAACATTTGTTTATAATATATTTTAAATGGATAACATAATTATTCATACTGATTTTCAAAAAAAAAAAAAAGTGAATTTAAAATTTTAAAACACTCAAACATCAAGAAAGAAAAAAGGTCAAGTTTGAAATAAATGAAAAAGAGGGCTAAATGAGAAAAAATTTTTTCTATTTGGTGTTTCTTTTTTTTTTTTTTTTTTTAAAGGAACAAAAATAAAAAGTGATCAATTTATCAGGTTCATTCTAAATTGATCCATCGATTGATTTTTAGGCAGTTTAAAAGTTTTTTTTTGCTTTTCTTAAAAACAATTTTTCATATACAATTTTTTGCTGTTACTTTGAATGCTGAGATTTGTTGAATTATGCAAAGAATAAAAGTGGTAGAATGAAATAATTAAAAGAAAAAGGAAGAAGATAAAAGAGATGAATACCACTTTAATGGATTATCATTCTATTAGGATTAATTTAAGTACTTCTTATCATTATATGAAAGTACTGAAGTACCTCTTGACAACATCTAATAAAAACATTTAATAGAAATTTATAGTACTAAATAAAAGAAAAGAAGACTTAATAAAATTTTAAATAGAAATCAAAAAATAAATCGTAAAAAAGAAAAATTTAAAAAGTAGAAAAAAATTGAACATTCTTATGTATTTCTTTCTCTCATTGCTTTTTGTAGTACTTTAAATGGTACAACAAGAAAAATTATTTACGGTAAAACATAATACCGTAATTACAAAACTTTGGATGGATGAAAAATATGGCCAAGGAAAAAAATTTATGATAAAATATGCCTCGAGAGATTAGGCATTAATGATTTACCGTATAAGTTATTGCAGTAACTAAAAAGCTAACGATTGAATGATATAATATATACCGTATAACCTGATGAAAAAATGATACGGTAAGTGATTTACCGTATAACCTTAAAACGATGAGTAAAATAAGACAAATTAATGACACATTAAATAAAAAAAAAAAAACTGTAGACTTACTGTGTATTCCATTATTGTAAAAAAAAAAAAATTTTAAAGAAAACTAATATTATATAATGTAAATAAAAAATCATTTATTTTAAAATTTAAAAATACGGTAAAATAATACGAAGAAATTATCAATGAAATTAATAAGCAAAGAGAAGATAGATGTTAAAAATAGTAAAACGACGAGATGGAATTAATTTATTCCGCGATTTTTTCTTCCTACCGCTTCCAAGTGATTAGTAATTCGAGAAAAAAAAAAGGCAAATAAAAAGCGAATGTCATTTATAGCATTAAAAAATATATTTACATATGTACATATTTAATTCTCATACAATCGTTTCATCTTAATTCACTGATTGCAAAATGTTTAAAGAAAAGTTGTGTTTTGTTGAGCGCAGTTGTCATATGTTATAGTAATTAATTAGTACAATTTAAGGACATTAAAGTAAAACGATACAAAACTTTTGTTTCCTATATTGTTTTTATCTTTTGTTTCCTACATTGAAAACATATTCTTATGTTACAAGAAGCTATATGATTGATAATGAGAAAAAAAAACGAAATGATAAGAAAGAACGATGATAAGTATGATAAGTAATAGCAGTGTTAACAATAACAATGATTGTTGTATGAAGAAATTATGGTGAAAAGATCGTTATCATTATAATTAATACTAATATTAATTTTTTAGTAGCACTTATTATTAATATCATTATTAAGTTTTGGTTTTAAATCACTTTTGTTAGTTTCTCCTATTTGCATATAATTCATTATGCATCATTTCCTAATAATAATCTTAATCTTATCTCGTTATCATTTTCAAGATTTCATTGTCATTATGACAATTTGATTTTAAAAATTGTTTTTTTAATTTTAAATCATAATTCGATATTAAATCTCTCGTTTTTATCATATCGAATGGCTAATTGATTAATTAGAAATGATCAAATGTTTAATTAATCATTTCTAAATTTATGATTAAATTACATTTTTTATCAAAATGCTATATCATTTTATAATTTTTAAATGTTCGCAACGAAAAAGATTAAATTTTATTAGTTAAAAGAAATCAAATGCTATGCATTTGATTTTTTTTTAAAAAAAAAAAAAAAAAACAAACGAAATTAAATTTAAAGAAAAAAGCATTAATTTAACAATAGAATTAGCCAATTTATATATGCTAATATTTATTCTTTTTCGCCATCGTACGGAAAAAAATTAACGGAAGAAAACATCAAAAAAAAATTTGACAGCATGAAAGAGTGAGAAAAGAAAAAGGAAGAGAAATGGGGTGGATGAGAAAAAAGAAGGAAAAGAATGCAAATGCGGAAATCCGGAAAAAAGAAAGAACGAAAAATGATTTGCAGCGATCAGATGTAGCTTCCAACTGGTTAAAAAATGAAATAAAATTTATGAAAAAAAGAATAGAAGTAGCTAAGTGAATATAGAAATTTTTTTTTGACTTTAATAAAAAACTGAGCTAAAAATAAGTTTTTATTTATTTTGAAATATTTAAATTTGGTTTAAAGAAAGTAATGAAAGTATTTTTAAAAAATGAAATTATATAAAAGAACGCTTGGCGATTTGAATTATTTAAGTGATAATATAATATAAATGAAATGAACATCGAAAAAAATTTTGTTTACTAATTATTTGTGAAATTGATAGACATTATTAATTCATTATTAACATAAAAATTATATGGTGATTACGTCGTATTTATCAGAAGTGATATTAATTTCACATTACTTTATCATTTTATCATCTACATATAATTTCACTTTACTTTATCAATCATTAATTATCAGTTTCATCTTTGCCATCAAAATTTCGTTCTAATTTATTAATTAATCATATCATTTACACTAATTCCATCACACTTGATCAATTATCACCTGCCACTTTTATCTTGTCCGATCTTATGATAATCTCTATTTGTATCAATTGACCTCAATTCAACCTTTCAGATACTTTCGCTGTCTGCGTATATTTTTTTGATAGACCTACCTCATTTGATAATGACGATTCTTATCTTCATTGCAATCATTACCGTCCTTTTTATTTATCATTACCACTATCATTATTATCAGTATTATTATCATTTCGGTTGTTAATATTATTACTTCAATTCCTTTATTCTTGTTATCATCTCAGTGTAAATTTGGTGATAATAAAATATAATGATCTGTCATATACTATTCCATCCAAACATTTCGCATATTCTTAGATCTTCTAAATCGGTGCATTAGCAATTAAATGCATAATTTACAGAATTATTGCAATATTTTAACCAATCAAACCTGTTTCCATATCTGGTGTCATTATCAGCTCATCATCATCTTGATTATCAATATAATTGATACTTTGTGATGAGAAATTTGTTCGTGGCGATCGAATATCGAATATAAAATCCAACTGTGAATCAACATTCTTCATGAAATGCAATTCTAAACAAAACAATCTATTTTTAGCATAAAACGAAAAATTGACAGCATGATTGACATTTCAAATGATTAAAAAGTGATCTGTTCAATTATATTTACGCATTTAATAAATTTAATTATATTTTGATCCATTTAATATACCAAATCATAAAATTAAGCTTTTTTCTAAAGTTAAAATTGGATACTGAACAATAAAATGTATAATAATAACATATGCTGTATAATCAAAGCAGTAAATAAGTTAATTAGTAAATCATTACCTCTAACTGAATTTATATTGTTAATTATCAGAAGTGAATAATGCATTCATAGTATTATCATTTGATTTATCATAGATTTAAAGACAACTATTAAATTAAAATTAGCAACTACATCAGCATCAATCTTCATATCGACTACTATTATCAGCCATTATCACCAATCATATTCATCTATTATCAACATCACCCATCATCACTAATCATTGTTATCACCTATCATTATCATCAACCATCATCATCACTACTGTCATCATCCATCATCATCATCATCATCACTGCTGTCATCATCTATCATCATCATCATCATCACTGCTGTCATCATCTATCATCATCATCATCATCACTATCAATCGTCATATCATTATCAGTCATCATCATCAACCATCATCATCTATCATTATCGTCATTACCATTACCAATCATCATCATTATCAGTCATCATTAATCATAATCATCATCACTATCAATCGTCATATCATTATCAGTCATCATCATCAACCACCATCATCTATCATTATCGTCATTACCATTACCAATCATCATCATTATCAGTCAATATTAATCATAATCATCATCATCATCTATATCAAGAATATTACCATCAGATGTAGCCAGGTTATCATTATCTGCTTGTATCGGTTTTTTGATAACGAATTGTTTGAGAATTTCACATGCTTTCTTTATCATTGAAATGACAGAACAATGTTTATCATCCTGTGCTTCATCCATCACGTACTGATCTGTTGCTTCAACGTGCGCTACGCTGAAATATTACCCAAAGTTTATTAATGCAAAATTTTTTCAACTTCACGTGAATATTATGAAATTGCTCATTTTACGATGTATACTGTTAAAATTTCTGTATAATTTTTTAAAAAAGCCAAGTTGGAAAGAAAAAGACCTTTAATAATAAAGAAAAAGCAGAAATTGGATCTTTTAATAAATTTACATTAAAATTTTATTGTTTCCAAAATTTCTAAGTAAATTTATCATCCTGTTTTCTCATTACATAGCTCTTTCGTTTTGTCATTTTGCGCAAAAAATATTGGCAAAAAGGTGCATCTGTCATTCTAAAGTATTTGATAGTACTTTAATTAAGTATACATATACAAGGAACCAATAATTATTGAAGCATAATGCGTGAAAAAAACGTGATATCATTATATATGCAACAAATATAAAGAAGCAAAATATGTTGGTATGCACGTAATACGTCGATATATTATGAATTTTGTTATACATAAAATAAACAAACTTAGATAATAAAAAAATAACTTTTAAAATGCTTGTGACGCACATTGCTATACACGTGGAAATGAGTAAGAACAATCTTATGAATTTATATATAACACAATGAACTTAAAATCACACTGCAATTAATTTGCATATTCACTCATCACGTTTGTGTGGAATGCATATGCAAATTAAAATATTAAGTATGATGGTTATAATATGCAAATTAATCGTTCGTAACTTTCATTTCATTAATATCAATTTCAGCGGTTGAAATATGTTATAATAAAGTGTTAGATTTATAAATATAATTTATAAGATAAATGATAAGTGCTTTTTTATCAGAAACATCGTCAAAGAGATAAATATTGTCACATGCATGGTAGTTTTGACGTACGTAAATCATGCATATATATATTTCTAGGACAATCATTACGCTTAATTCTAACAGTTAAATATTAACTTTACAATTTTTTATATTATGATGGAAAATTTTAAAAGTTTTTGTTAACATTTGATAAAAGTGTAAAATAATAGGGAGAAAAAAAAAAAGAGATAAAAGATATGAATTGAAATCACGTAAGTCTGAACGTCTAACGTTATATAAGTAAACGTTTTATTTTCATATGATTTTTTGAATAGATCTATGATCACGTAACTTATATGAAATGCTGCTCGTTTCCTTAAATGAAATTTAATTTCTATTAATCTATGATCTTAAAGTTTATATTTCACATTTGTTTAGTTTAGAGATTAGCTAAAAATGTTTGTTTAATTCTCCACCACTGATAGCATAATAATTAAGCAAATGTATGTCTTAAAATATAATTATGTTATTTAGATTTCTTAGCATTAAAAAATTATTATTGAACGAAACGAAATTTAATTAACAATAATAATTTTATATAAATTCTAATTAAAAAACTTTTACCTAAAAAATTTTCATATATAAATGAAATAAAATTATAACTAACAGAAAAGACTACCAAAAGACAATTTAGTTATCATTTAAATATGAATTATTGTCATAATTGTGAGTGTGAATTTATGAGGAATAGGTAATAAGTGCTTACCTGAGAAAGGTTAAGCAATTAAAAAAGGTCAAGTATCAAAAAATGAAGAAAAAGAATTCATCAAAGTATTAACTTTATTACAGCAATTAAAAAATATTATAATAGATGATAAATTATGGAAAAAGTAACAAAAAAATTTATAAACTTAAAAACTTAAAAAAATTATAAGATTAAAAAATAAGGGGTTCAAAGGTCATAGCAATTTAATAAGCAATAAATTAATGATATAATCTTAAAACACTTATGCAATATATCTTATCATATCTATTTTTAATTAATTTTCAAATATAAATTTATCCTACTTATTATATTTATATGATCCGTTGATATAATCATATCAAATATTATCCTAACAAGTTTTATTTGAACATAAATCATTCAAATTAATTTAATTAAATTCATATAATACATTTAAACAAGTCCTTCAATGGCTGCTATTTTCATTGAATTATTCTATTCCTCAATGAATATTTTGATATAAACTAATCAAATTTTATTGAATGTTTCAATTTTGATTATTGTCATTTCAAATTTTTGTTGCATTAATTTTAATTTATAAATAATAATATTAATTTATTTTAAGAATTAATGCTGGAAAATTGATAAAAATTTGAGAAATTGATAAAAAATGTAATTTGATAAGAAGAATAAATATATAAAACTTTCCTGTAATTGTTTATTACCAAATATTTTTATATAAATGAAAAATTAAAATAATTTTTTTTTTTCAACCATTTTAATAATAATTAAAAAGAGATATTTTACTTATAATTAGATATTTGATAGTAACATTTATCAAAATTATATAACTTTAACAAATGAACAATTAAAATTTTTTGAATTAGAAAATTACTATATCAAATTAAGTAGCATATACCAATTATATATTAATCATTAATAGTAATAAAAAATTAGTTTCAGGAATTATTTTGTTTAAAAATTGATAATACTAAAATTATATGAAAGTATTTTTTGTGTTTAAATATTATAAGCATAACAAATATGTAATTTCATTTTCTTTGTTTACATTTTATGTCACTTATCATTCATTAATTTAAAATAAATAAGTTAGATCTGACTTTGACAATTCATTATTTTCTTTTTTTCTTTTGAGTCATTATTGGTCTTTCATTTAAAAAAATTTAAAAACTTTTCCAATCTAAACAGATAAAATTAAAATATTTAAAAAGTTAAATCAAAAACTCTCTTTGTTTACAATAAATAAACTTTTTTGGAATAAATACTTTTCTTTACATATATAATTTTTTGCTAAAGTATATATTATTTATTTTTTAAATTTTTTAACAATTTTTATCATAATTTATTAATTTTACAATGAATCGTATATGACCGAAAAATTATTTTTATAGCAGTAAACAATTTTTTATTTGAGTAGTAATTTTATGAAATTATTTCATTCATTTCTTCTGAAAAACTTTTTCAGTTTTATTTGCTGCATATTCTAAACCATTTTGAAATTGTTTTTTAATTCTTTAATAGCACTAAATTCTCATCTAATGCGACTTTTTTTTTCAAATAATTTTATTTATAATTCAATTGTTGCTTTTATTTCTTTTTAAAGTATCAGTGAAAATCAAATTTTACTTAGAAACAAATTTTTTTCAAAAATTAAGCATTTCAAAATTTAAACAGTTTCAAAGCTGTTGTAAGCTTGAAATGCTAAGCTTACAAAATTTATTTAAAATGCTATATTTGGGGAGGGGGGGAAAAATATGAAATGATAGATTTGGAGCTGATATTGTTTTTTAATTAGTCTAATCAGCATAATTAGCTTGTGCAGAATGAATAATAATTGAATTAAAAATTAAATAATTTCAAAACAGTTTGAAAATATTTTTCAGAAACAATAAAATTAAGAATTAAATAATTTCAAAACAGTTTGAAAATATTTTTCAGAAACAATAAGATAAAAGTTTATCAAATGACCAAGAGAAATTACTTAAACTGTTTTCATTTTCATGCTATAAAGTAATCACTAATAGTAGCACCTTATAAGGTCAAGAAGTAACAAGTCAATTGGTCATTTCACTGCTTAAAAGGTTAAAGGTTAAAGAGCAATTGTAAAATTGTTTCATTTCTATCAAATCTAATGATTGTTCTGTTCAATTCATAGATAATTCTCAATTATACAGCACAATTAAATTTCTAATTGTTGGGAAAATTTTTTTTTAATATTAAATTTTAAATATACTACTTAAGCTTTTAAGTGTGATTTATTTTAGTTTGAATGATACTTTTATTCATCTATTAAATATTTTCTTATTTTTCTTTTAAAAAATTTTTTTTATAAATGGCTTTTATGAAATGATAGAAATAATTGTTGAAGCAAAATTGGAAAAAAGTAAGATTTTATTATAGAAATACTTAAAAACTTCTTATAAACATACACTTAATGAAATAATATTTTAATTACATTTTGAAAATTTTTATCAAAACCAAAAAAAAAAACTTGTTCATATATCAATTTGTAAATTATTGTCAATATAATTACTAATATTTATTGAAAAATAAAAGCAAAAAAAGAATTCCAATCATATTTGTTTTATTATTTAAATAAAAATTTTAAGTAATAATTGAAAAATTAATGTGACAAAAAAAAAAAAAAAATTTGTTTTTTTCTTTTTCATAAATTCTGCGTTTTGCTTTTCTTAGATTTTTGTTCTTTTTTTTGCTTTTTGTTAATGGAACATTTGATGAAAAAAAAAAAAGAAAAAAAGTGCTAAATAATATTTTGTTTGTTTCGTTGTAAAATATCAAAAAAAAAAGTAAATAAAAAAAAAAATTTTAAAAAAGAAATAGAAAAACAAGTTTGAAAATGTTACACTTCGTCAAACAATTTCAATTAGAGATTTAATTTGAAAAGCAATTTCTTTTTTTTTTTTTTTTTCAATTAATATAAATGAATAAGCAAATTTTCAATTATTTTTTTTTTAAAAAAAAATATTCCTTTAAAAGCAAACTTATTTTCATTTTTTTTTTTTCTTTTGAATCGCATTTTATTTGATTTGATTCCTTTTTTTTTTTTATCATTTAAATTTTCTTTTTTCTTTCTACTTCCTCTTTTATAATCATATATTTGCCGTATAAATTTTCAATTTTAACTTTTAAATTTTAGACAAAAACTTTTAACTTTAAGTAATTCTTTAGGTAATTTATTTTTGATATATATTTTTATGAAAATGTAAAACCAAAGAGTGCTTGATAATTTTGTATTTCAATTTTGAAATTTCGAAAATAGTTTAACACTTCGGTGATTGATTTAGAACAAATTATGTGATTAATTAAATTTCATACAGAAATTTGCTTATAAATAAATTTTCTATTAGCCAAGCAAAAGTTAATTTTAATAAATTATATTTGAGGAAAAAAAAAGTATTCAATACGATTTAAGTATTTTTGCTGATTTTAATAGTAATACGCATAAAATGATTGATTAATATTAAAATTGATTAATAATTAATAATATTAAAATATGCAATAAGTGAAGAATATTATTTTCAATTAATTAATTTTCACAAATTACCTTTGACAATTAATTAATTAATTAATTGTCAAAGGTAATTTGTAAAGCTTTTGCATATATACAATTTATTTAATATATTATTCATTTAAACAAAAAATAAAATGGAATATTTAAATGCCAACAAGGTAAAGAATAAATTAACCTTTTTATAAAATCCGTTTTTTTTTTTTTAAATTCTCGAAGAAAAAGTTCTTTTCCGTAATTATTGAAAAATTAAATTTTAATTTGCTATCGTCACATAATTTAAAAAAAAAAATTTTGTTTCAAAAAGTCTTTTTAACAAAATTATTAAAATTAGGATGAATTTAACGTCAAAAGACACAAATTAAATTGCTTTTCAAATAATTCTTACTGTTAAATAATTATTAGGTAAATAAATTCAAAATATAATTGATATTTGATAAGAGGAGAATTGAATAAATTATTAATTATTTTCCAATTATTTTTCA